AAAAATATATGTTAATCATTTTTTTGTCCTGGTTTTGGTACAGATGCTAATTCAACAAACTCTGCAAGAAAGTCCTCCTGTTTAAGATATAGCTGCACAGTTGCACTCTGGAAACAATTACGAGGCAATAATCTTCACATTCTTTCATCCCACCAATGGCTCAGCTGATTAGGATATCCACTGGTACGCAAGGCTAACCTCAAACACTCTCATACAGACGCGTGCGTTTACTTTTCTTCCATACAGCAGAGTAGGTGCTCCTGCGCCCTATTTGGTTACGAACCTAGCCTTCTTCTCTTCCTCTCTTGCACACACACCTGACATCTGATTCCTTGCTGATGATTAATGACCCTAGAAGTCTTTCAGCAGAGACCACCCAGGGTCAAAATAACCTTCCACAAAATACAGAAGCAGTAAAATACCATTCGGTCGCCACTCTTTGACTTGCACAAACCGCGACATCTTGTGCGTGAACGTTTGTGCGTGCAAGAGCAGGAAAGGTGGACTAGTTACTGTGGAAACACTTAAAAATGTGCACACCCTCCACCCCCTCCTCATGTCCTGTGTGAAGAAAGAGGGGAATACTCTGCCAACACCTTTCAAAACGTAAAACCATCTTGCTGTTATTCTTCCCTGTAACTCTCCATCGCTTTTTTTTTTTTTTTTTAAACCTCTCTTGTGAGGAATTACCCTTGCTGTCCTCTAATCTCTCCAGAGAGCTTTTTCCCAGGGTGGAAACACTGCCATCCTTTTTCCTCTCCACTCTCACTGTCCCCTCCTTCCTGCTTTTATCAGTGTCAGTGTACCTGTGGGGAAACTGAAGACTGCATCAGGTTGGCCATGAGGGATCCGGCCAGAAACATCTCTTACTCAACCGGCTCCTGTCCTTCCGTCTGGTTATTCTTCCTTTCCTTCCTTTTCATGCCCAATCCAAAATCTCCACCCCTTGTGCCAGCCGAGCAGGGTGGCAGAGCCCCAAGCCCATTTCAGAGGAATTTCCCTGTTGAAATTTATATCAATTTCAGAGCTCTCAAGTTTTATCCGCAGCGTGTGAAAAGACTGAAAGTCCCTTCTCCCTCCAGCATTCATGAGTCTTTTGCTTCCGCTCAACCTGCTGCCTTTTGTTAATGGTCTTTCATTCTCTTTTTCTGTCTTTTTCCTTGTCACTTCGTTTTCTTCCTCATATCCTGCCCCTCAGCTTCTCTTTTTAAATTGACTCTCCTTTTTTTTTTTACTTTTTCCTTCTACTTCACTTACTTCCTTCACCACCTTCTTTTCACTCTCCTTAACAGCTCTGTGTAGGCACAGCCTGGTGAATGCCAGGCATTCCTTTGTAAGGTTAGAACAGACAAAGGTGGACCCCATCACCTGAGAGAAAACGGCCTTTTGAATCAGTGCCCAGGGGAAAGAGGGGCTGATAGTGGAAAAAAGGGGGAATAAAAGCTGGGGAGAGAAGCCAGAGATGGAAAAGAGGAACACCTGTCCTCTGCTGTCCTTGTGTGAACTTTCAACTTTGACCTTTGTTACTTGATATCAATGCCTTGTTCAAATGAAAGCAGCATTAGCTAACGGTAAGTGAGCGACGTGTTGGTGCAAAAGGGTGCTTTTAAAGGGTATTTGTGCGCCAGGGTAATGAGATTTAACACTGTCAAAACCACATAAGCTTATGTTATTGACTCACTTACCAACATACAATACTTAACTCAGTGTGAGCACTAAGCCGAGTAAACAAGTTAAGATTACAACCTAAAAGTTAATTCCAATCAAGCTCACAAACACAAACAACTCCATCCCGTAACACACTCCGGCCATTCACACAACTCAATGCAACCCTAAACAAAATCAACCCGCCCCAAACACACCACCTCTGAGTGGAACAGACCTCCACACGTTAACACATAGTGCCTCTATGTTTGGCGCAAAGGGTGTGGTGTTGGGTGGAGTGTATCGGTGACGCCAACCTGCCCTTCACGGCTTATTTTGGGGGCTTTTGACATATTTCAAGGGCAAAGCAGGTCTGTGTGATGCAATGCAATGGTTTTCCACTCAGTTAACAGCCGCTGTTTGTTTTTACTCTTACTAATGGAACAGAGCAAAAGGGGGAAAGTGGAGTGAAAGAAGAGAAACTTATGATGGCCAGGTGTTTTTTCCCTCTTCTCGGGAATGTTTCACCTTGTAAAAGCAAGTGAGTGGGAGGGGACTTGTGTACCAAGCTGCTTTGAGTGGTTTGGGGATTTTCTAAGAGGTGTGTTCTGACCATAAGGTATGACTGAGCATGAAAATGTGTTGTGTGGCTGTAATAGAAGGTGAGCTGAGTTTTTTTTTTTTTTTTTTAGAAGGCAGGGGCTGAATTTTTCTTCTCGAAGACGCAAAGGCTTCCTCATGTTTTTGTTCTGGCCCCCCATCAACCAATCCTTCACCTTATTTAGCCACAGAGAGCGATTGCTGTTGTGCTAGGGTGGGATCAACAACAACACACACCTAGTGGATGGATGAATGGCAGGCCTGACAACCACACAGGGCTCCCATTGATGACATCATGGCTGGGCATCTGGTCACTCCACCCTTTCCATGTTTCAGAGGTCCATTCACCCTTCACCATGGCTCTTTCACAAAAATGACGCCTATTGCTTATTTCTTTAATGATTATTCAATTTAGCCGGCTCCAGCCATGAACAAAATAATGTTTTTGACGCTGATGGTGCAATCACCACTTGGCCAGAGTATGACCTTCCAGATTTCTTCATATAGAGTGAGTGTAAAATCAGTTCCTCTTGTACATGCTTTATCAACTTGCTATCTTGTTATTGATGATGATTGCCAAAACAGAGCAAAAGAAACACAAACAAACTCCATCTGGCTCACAAATTGATCATAATGACAGTCACCGAATTGCCAATAATCATGATCTGAATGTGACTTTGTTGAGATGTTGCCTATAGCTCTTATTCAGAAAAATCACTGACTTTGATTTTTAATGGTTATAAAATTACACCATCTGGGAACCATAAATATCGTTTATGAGCAAAACATGACAAAACAAGACAAGTTTGGCGGGACTGCCAGCTGATAACAAGCTGGAATTTAAGCATAAATCAAGACTAAGAATCCTGTGTTGGCCTAAATACAAGAGGACCCTGATTTTAAGACTACCAGCCCTTCAAAAAACTCTTAACGGCCAAATCTTGTTTTTATGAACAAAAATATTTTGATTAAAAAAAAAAAAGATGAGTCAAATTTGCGCAGTGAAGAACAGGTAGATTGTCATTTAAATGCCTTTGATTAATATCTGCTGTCTTTTAAAATCAAATTGTCAACTCAAATTGAACTCAATCCGGTTCGGTGTCCGTGTGAAACAAACATCTCTGTACTGAAAGCCCCTGTGAGGAGTTTTTTTGACATCAATCAAATAGATGGAAATCAGTATTAATGCCTTTTTATAATGTACAAAAGTGAACAAGACCATCAGCAACAAGGCTGACCATTTTTTATGATCATATTATAGTTTTTAGTGCCTAAAATTTGTAAAGGGAGGAAGGGGCAGTTGACCTCCTCAAGAAAAAGCCCTGTTTTTGCAATATCCTCAAAAGTATTCCCAATGATTGACATGCTTGACTGTCAAAAGGACCAGACAAGCAAAGACTTTGGTCCACAGGGTACGCCAAAATCAACACAAGCCGAACTGTCCACTGTTCAAACAAACGTGTCTGTTTGATGGATAAGAATAGCTCACTTTTTTCTAGATGCATTTTAAGGAAAATAAAACCTGTCTCTTATTCTGCTCAATACGGTAAATGGTTTCCAAAACATCAGCCCCTCTAATCAGTCAATCCTAACCGGCACCACCGAAGGATGGGTAAAACCACAAAAATCTTGGACAAATGTTGAACACAGCTCTCTCTTAATTTGTTTTACCTTTCTTTCCCCCTCGCTCCAGCACTTCGAGATCTACTTTGGAATCCTAGTCTCTATCTGATCTCTGACTTTGCCAATGGCTGAGTCCCAGTAGGTCTTTCAGGAAAAGGCAAGGCCAGCTTTCCTCTGGCTCGTCCAATCGCAGGCACTGAGCGGATTTCTATTCAAGGTCCACTACCAGAGCACAGAGCCAGCTAACACGGTGCCAATTAAAAACACAGAATGCTAAGCTTGTACTGGTCTTATTAAACTTCTGTTCGAACGATAAGGAACGACCTCAGTTCATCAGAGCCATTAGCCTTCTTCCAAAACATGGTTTCCAACTGCGCATGTTGATGAGAATTCATGCATTCTCCGAGCAAACACTTGGCAAATTCAACGCCTGGAATAAATTTAATACTTGTTATTTATCACGTAGCAATAAAAAGCCTGGACTAATTTAAACACGGAGATGTAATCTGCTGTTATGCTTCGGTGATTAAACCCAAGACAGCATAATCATGTAATGATGATGCACGAGTGGTGGCAGGTTGTAGGGGGCAACAAATCACTCCTTTTATATAATGTTTAGCCGGTGTTATTTCATACTTGGAGATTATTGACTGGCTGTCTAGGCTGAAAGGCAAGCTAGGAGAGAAGTGAGAAGTGAGTCGTTTCATGCCAAGTGTTGCCGAATTTCAAAGTTTGATTTGTGAGTATTTGAGCAGACTTGAACACAGGCATCAAGAGTCATTTTTGTAAGGTAAATCTGTGTAACAGGGGAGTGAACATAGCACTCGACACCCCCAAAGTCCTCTCTTCTGATCTATTTTTCGTTCCCTTTCCCTTCTCTTCATCCTACCCCACCCCTCTCTGTGCGGCTGCTACCCCACCCCATCCTGCTCACTCCCCTCCTTCCACAGAGAAGCCAGCCACAGACACTTTCTTTTTGTATGAAGGGGTTCAACCCAATGAACAATCCTGTCTGTCTTTCCCAAAATAAGCCAGTGGGAGAGGGATCGCGGAGTGAGCCAGGGAGATTGGAGCAGCGAGGTGCACAGCCCCTGGTTATAAGTCCTTGGAGTGGGAGCTCTGCCTGCTTGGACCCACAAGCCTTTAGCTCAATATGCACTGCCTTGCTGCCTGCCTGACTGCCTGACTGACTTGACTGACTATAGCTGAGTCTCCTTTCACCGTTGCTCACTCTCTCTCCCTCTCTGTCCTGCTCCCTCGCTCCTTCCCTCCTACTTTCCACCCTGTAGAGCGAGAGCACACAGATCTGGAAGGTGCTCCTCAGACCTGCGTGTGGACAGCTTGAAGACAGCACTTAGAGGGTTTTTTACTCTCTTCCATCCGCTCTCTCACTTTTGCCATCTCTGCCAAAAAGCACATGGATGGACTTTTTTTGTTTTTTGTTGGTGGCAGAGAAATAAAAGTTTAACAGACTCCACCTGCACTTAAAAATAACTTTTTTTTTTCCCTCCACGCTGGACCAGTTTGGGGTGCCAGCTGAGTTCTACCCAGGAGGACAACTCTCCTCTTTTTGCCTGAATGTTTATTGAATACCTGATGCCATTGCATCCCATGGGAGACACGAGTGGCTGAAGCAAGGAGGGAGGTAGAAGAGAGATCCACCTGACGCTCGCACCTACCACTACCCTTTACCCCGTGCACCCCCCTGCCTCTCAACGTCTGAGGAGAGAAAGGTAAAGGTAAGTCCTGCCTGCCCTCGCATTTCTGTGGCTTCCTCAGCATCCTCGTGTCCTGTGTCTGTTGTCCTCTCTGCTTTTGTCACATGTGGCTGCACTGGCGTAGGCCAAAAGAAACAGCAGGGGAAAACAGGAAAGGGGGAAAAAATAAAAATAAAAAACAGACGGAGAAATATCTTAGTCATGGGACCTGCATAATGCTCCTCAGTCCTAAGCTAGTGCACAGAGTAACAGCATGCAGATTAAAAGGAACCAGAACAGTTTGTTTGTCAAGTTCCCTCCAGGACATACAGCCTGAATGGGCACTTATTACACTACTAAAGCTGTAGATTTGGACCCTTTCTCAAGACCCTGGCTGTCTCTGAAATCCTTAAACTCTCTCTTTCTTTATGTATGCGGTAGTGTTTAATAACAGACTCAGTCTTACTTTGATATTTTTTAAGGTATTGGGACTATGATGTTGTTTCATCCATACCCACATACCTTTCACTGATGATGTTGAAGTGGGCGTGGGGTGTATTTGGAGTGTGTATAGGGGTGGGGCAGTGTGGTAGCTGGATATATATCATGGATTTGGCTCGGTAACACAAAATCAGATTTAGAGGAGTGTCCTCATGGGGTTAGGTCTTGTGTTTTTGTATGTAAGTGTACCCATACCACAGAGTCTGTTGGCATCCACTTCAGCTCGCTGGACTTTAAAGGTCAAATGGTGAGTGGAATGCACCAAGGTGAGGGAGCACTACAAATGGACACATGGCCCTCTCTTCCCTCGTCTAGCCCTAGCCCTCGTTCCTCTGTTGCTTCACTCTGTCCATCCACTGTGACGCCTCTGGCAAGTGACGCCGCATTCCATTGTAACGACATCCCTTCATAGCAAACAGAGAGAGAGGAGAAGTAGCCTTGACTCCGAGTCCTCAGGTATCACGCATGACAAACTAACAGAGAGTCGGGGATTCGAAGAGATGAGCAAAAATAAAGGGGAAAAGACCAGAAAGAATTCCAAAACACATGCTTCTGCTGAGGCAATGCGTTTTGCAGACACGTGTTTTACTGCAACAAGAGGAGGCTTTCTTATCGGTGACAAACTGACAGAGAGAGAGAAAGACAAACAAGGACAAAAATAAAGTGCGAGTAGTAGAAGTGGATCTCAACAGACATGCTTTGCTGAGAGGATACATTTTTTGATCACATGTGTTTCAGTGCACTGACAGCAAAGGAAGGAGGGAGAGGTGTAGAGTTAGGTAAGTAAGAAAAAAGAGAGAAAAGAGGGGGGTGAGAGTCTGGAAAAGACAACGGGCTGCAGTTTTGAAATCAAAAACCATTTTTATATTTCACTGGCCTCTGCTGTAAAAAGAAAAGTCAACCACACCTGTAAAAGATGGCTCACACGCACGCTTTTGGGGTAGCTGAATGTGTGAGAGTATCAAAGTGTGTTCCACTATCGTGAAGGGGAGTGGGTGAATGGATACACACCGAAGTGTGAACTCTCCTCTTGGCACTAAGCTTCAGGAGGAGTTTCTCAGGTCTGTGAGGCTGCTGGTGCACAGCAGCAGCAGCGTCTGCTTTACTTTTCAAAGTTCACAGCCTCTCACACAGATTTACTGTCTTCCAGCCAGCTTCCAACCTTCTCTTAGTTTCTATTAAACCACCTATAGGTGAGGAAATTTATGCCCCCCTCTGCTTTTGCCTCGCTACCCCCTCCTCCTTGGCATACAGTCTCCATTTTTGGCACGTGCGTGGTGGCAACACTGGGCTGTTACCATGGCAGAGTGGTGCCACTGACTGGGATTCTTTGTTCCTGAGTGGGCAGCGACTGGTCACTTGCTCTGTAACTTGTGGCTACAAGCAGTTTGAGTGTGTTTTTGTGTGGTAACACTTTTTATACCACAAATAACAACCTCCAACCAGCCGCCCATTCAAGGCTTGCGCCACAAGTGCCAGAGCGTGACCCACCACCATACACAAACAACACTCGCCGTATGCACAGCGGCAGTGTCAGCACACTTTCTACCCTGTGCATTACAAACACCTACATGGATTTGCTCTCCTCAAACAGACACACACATTTCACACAGATGAACACACTCTTGCTGTCTTCTGCCAAACCGCCTGCTCACACAGCTCTGAGACTCTCACGCCCCACTGCAGTTACTTTTTTAGGCCAAGACCTGTTGAGGCTGGTGCTTTAAAGACCTTTAAGTCAACATCAGCTCCTCGCTGTCTTGAACATCTTTGAATGTAAATCATTTTCTGCTGTCAAGGTGAAGGAACAAGGTCCTGTTTGAGGGACTTCCTGGTGAGATTTCATCCTCATTGCGGCAGCTCAGACCCTTGTGCTGCCGGTTCCCAGATCACTTATTGATTGCATATCTGTCACTCGTACATCTTTGAAGATAAAGGGGGACAAAGCCTGAGGACAGGGATTTAACAAAAGTTATAGGAGCAGCATGTCAAAAAGAGGACTTTACTGTTTATGAGCTCTCAATGGCTTGTAAAATATTTTACACTTTTGTGCCACAAGGGGGCAGAATACCAGGAGGTTCACTGGCTAACTAACACTGACAGAATTATATGGCATCTTCCAGTATTAGATCTTTATTGATCTAATACTGTAATCCCTAACAATACCTTCTTATTAAGAATATATACATATATTTAGGAGTTTTACCCAGGATTATTATCACAAAAACAAGATTTCAGACGAAGAGGTACAACAATCTTTAATCCACCCTTACCTGCAATTTTGCTTTCAAAATATTTTCCCAACTTTTGTGAGTCTCATGAATATGTGGGATTTTTTTCCCTCTGATTAAACTCATCCTTCACTTAACGTTGGTATATGCTTTTGCATGTGTGTATATTAGAGTGCACATGTGCTTCTGTTACCCTCAGTGTTATGCCGTGCTCGCAGGAAATGAAGGAGAATGCCACTCATTCTCCAAGAAAATTAAACGCCCACTTATATTCCTTTACTTCCCTGGAACTGAAACACCTTCAGAACACACACACACACACACACACACACACACACACACACACACACACACACACACACACACACACACACACACACACACACACACACACACACACACACGCACACACACACACACACATCTGTGCCTTTTGTTTCATAGGTGAAAACATGCCGCTCCCTTAGAGGCTTTACTAACAATGAGTGTGTTTTCTTAAAGTGCACATTTCAGTCAGAAACCAGCGCCCGTAATTGCGTCCCCACTCACAAACTCCTCAGTATGCACGCTCAGCGGTGCTGCTCATCTACTAAATGAAGAATTGCACCGAAGGGCGGTAGAAACAAAACACAGTCCCTGGTCCTAATCATAGTCCGACCCATAACATTCAGGATTAAATGGATGGATTTGTTTTTCAGCCGAAAGCAAAAACAGAAAAAAGACAGACGGTTAAGGACGGAAATGCATCGTTGCATGGAGATTCGTTGAGATTTGTGTTTTGTTTCCCTTGTCCTCCGCCTTGCTTGGATTGCTCATACTTTACAAGCTTATTTGCGCATTATTGGTAGCCACTTTGGCCCAGACTTGCAGCTGATATATGTGGAAGTCAGTCAGCTCTATGGGAGATTGTGAATCTGTACAAATAAACAGCCCTCCAGATTGAAAAAGCAGCATGTAGTTAGCCAGGTCCTTGTTTTGAAGGACATTGTTTTGGCTTGTTTTGAGCCCCCCAGAAAAAAAAAGAACAGAAGAAAGAAATAGAAGTAAAGGAAAACATTTGTTTTCTTTAATTCTGATTTGGTTTTATGTGTAGTTTAACTGATCTACATTAGTTCCCCGTTGCTCTCTAATTTGTCTGCCTCTCTTTATTTGTGTTTATCTGTCTCCCACTTGCTCTTTCGTTCTCTCATAACTGTGTCTGGACCAGAGGGAGTTTTTCCACTGGTCTGGCGGCAACAAGGGGGACGGCGGACGGAGAGAGAGAGAGAGAGAGGGAGAAAGACGGGGAGAGCGAGCAGTGGGGAGGCTTGGCAGACGCTTCTTGTTATTTTTCCTCCACTTCCCATTGACTCTGTCAGCGGTGGCTCAGTCTTCACAGGGCCTATGAGTTTAGAGGGCCCTGATAAACATGCCCTTTTCAGCTATCAGAGGCAACTTATCACAGGCACACTTAGCAGACAGGAGTATGAGAAGGTGGAGGGAGCTTTCGCCTTTGTATCGCCATGTTTTCCTTTTTTCAACACTCTCCTGAATTCATGACTTTGTTCAAGTTCGACCAACTTATTTCCATTTCAGACAACATATTCATAACGAGTAAATCCTGACTCTACTTGGCTCAATGTAAACCTCCTGTCTTGAGCTACCTTGTTCTCCACTGTAAGAAGAGCCTGAACAAGCCGTAATAACCGAGTCATGGGTGAAACACGTATTGAGCAATGCTTCTTGGAGTCAAATCTATATTTTCCTAATGGTTTCTTGAAGTTTTTTTGGGACAGCAACTCGTGTTTTCAAAGAGATTCCAACAGGAACAAACAGGAATGAGCGCCTCAGCGCTCGTCCAGGAACAGCGCTGTTCCTAGTTAATGGGATGTGACATCTTGAGCTCTACCGCTGAGGCCGAGTGTTCCCTGATTTGACTTTGGATGTGGAGAAGCGAGAGTTTCCCTGTTTCTAGGAAGGATGTGTTCGACCCCTCCGCACGCTGGATTTAATCATTGAGAAAACAAAAATTTAATCCAAATCAGCAAGCAAAGCCAATTGAGTATTTTTTTGATTAGCTTAAATCAGGTAGCCGTGCAAATGAGCATGTGTGTACAGAACATGAGGTTGGTTTATTTGCCTTTCCGTTTTGACTCCGCTACCTCTCATTCATTGCCCTTTGCTTCACCGTCTGGCAAGAATTTTGTTTGGGGCTTCCAAAAGCAGGATGTTGGGCCAACTCTTAACAGGGGTCAGCTCCTCAGAATAAAACTCACATTATCCCTCTTTTCATCTTGTTACATACGTACTTCTCCAGCCAACTGTTTGTTTTTATTATTCCACTTCAAATGCAGAATGGATATATCTCCCTCTGATAGGTCAATATTGAGTAAAGGATTAGAAACGGCTCTTCTGAGACCATTTTGAAAAGCTGCAGACTTTGTTATTTTTCAGTCTGTGCTTGATTTAGACGTATGCGTAGGTGTTCGTAAAAAGAGAAAAGAGACTGGGGTTATTGTGGTGTTATAGCTCCCTTGGAAGAGGATAATAAAAAGCATTTCATTTCACCGAGCCAGAAATTTGGAGAAGGAAGCGGATGCTTACTAAGTGACACATGTATTACACTCTTTTCTCACACATGAGACGTGTTTTTTTCCCAGTCTCCGGTAGCAGACGGCAACCCAATATCTACTATCAATCAACAAATTTCGTTGTACAAATTGCAGCTTGTTTGAAGGAACAGCTGCCAAAGACATGGCGTGATGAACTGAGGAGTGTGCTTGATTGCGCTTTTCCAGAAAGTTAAACATGAAGGTCGATATCAGTCAACGAGCTCTTCCAAATATCACTTTTCACAGTTCCAAGTCTTTGTTTTCATTGTGCAACACAACTAAAACAGCAAAGTACGGCCCTGAGCAGCATCAGTGAGGAGATAAAAGCAGTGACACAAGAATTCCAGTTCCCTATTCAGTTGATTGGAAGTGCTTTCCATTTCTGGAGGTTCATGAAACACAAAAAAATGGTAGCAAGTCATATTTTTCCAGTCCTAGGAAGAAAAAAAATTGTTCTATCTTGAATAGCACAATAACTTTAATATCACCTCAGCCAGCACCGCTTTCATCGGCTATGTTTGAGAGCTCCATGCACTTCCACATGTGCAAGTTGAACAGAGCAGGTATTAATGATACTAAATACCTGCAGTTTGTGTGTGCGATGAGCCCCCAGTGTACTAAGATGTCCTTGCTTATTTCATCATCTACATCTTGAAGTTGTATCTTCTGACAAAAATCATATCCTGCTTACTTTTCACTGTCAGATGTATCATTTATTACGGTTATTTCATGTTAATGGCTGTTATTTTATGTGTAGGGCTGTCTCTTCAGGTAGGGTGACCATACGTCCTCTTTTACCCGGACATGCTCTCTTTCTTGGGGGCTGTCCGGCTTTGTTTGGGGAAGTTTAGAAAATCCTTCAAATGTCGGAGTTTTGCATGGAAGTTTCGAGTTTGTGTCACATGGACTTACTGAGTTAGAATCACGTAAAAAAAAACTCGATCCAACCCAAAAAAGTCACAAAATAAACTATGTGCAACTCCGTGACTCCGCCCCCGCATAGTTGTGTCCTTTTTTGGGGGATTTAAAATATGTGCACCCTACTTCAGGGGTTCGGTTGACACCTACCCCCTCTTACTTGCTAGCTTTTATGTGTCAGGAAAAAGACATCAAAATGAATGTCAGTCTATTTCAGCAAAGTCCAAAAACTCCTAAGAGGAGCTTTAGATTTATAAAGACATAAAAGGTATATTTTTGTCAGAGAATTGAAAAAACTTAGGGTACAAACTTTTTTCAATAAAAACAGAAAATTATATTGTGAGTGAATCATTACATCCCTATTTCTTTACTATGGAGGAGATATATGAAATGTAAAAAGAGCTCGGTCACAAGGATGAACAAAAAAGACTTCCAGATTCCCCAAATAGCATGTTCATGTAAATATTCCTGGGTAAATGTTTTTATACATCACTCACTCTGCACTTATTAACAGGTGGTTACAGGTGCCCACCACATGGCCACAAATATGTGTCTGCCTCCCTCCTTCCAGCCTTGAATAAACCGACTGTTTGCCTTTTTCTGCCCAGATAAACACCCATACTTTGATTTGGCTCACAATATTCCTCAAAGAGATGGATTTAAGAGGACTTATCCCCCTACGGTGGACCACCCGGGGCTTCTGAGGAGTTTCTTTTGAAATTTGTCACACTGTATTAAACATCTTTCCAGCACAAATTACCCCACCAGTGGTTTGCACATTTTTACTTACGCTAGTATGCATTCAACAAGGCTCTGTATCCATATGAAGATGACACTCAAAAACAAACACATCAGGCAAAACACAACACAAACTTGAATCAGCTTGAATCAGTTCAGCGTCCCAGGATTGTGAGATGCAGGGTCCTCTCAGACTTAATGTTTAAATGGCCTTGGCTTTGAGACTTAATCCTTTCTGTGCAGACTTTGAGCCCATTGAACAACATGTGTTTCATAATGCCATTCTCACAGGCATTACGCTGCATACAACACAACCAGTCCTTCAAGGCTTTTGTCCGAATCATTTCCTGTAATCAGCGACAAAGCAGTGAAACGATAAAATGGGAAAAAAAAAAACAAGTGTGTGCTCATTCCAGCTTGAGTGCTTTTTGAGTGTTGCTGTACTCAACGCTGTCTACATTTTGTGTAAGTTGTGTGTGTGCACTTCTGTTGTTTCTTGTTATCCCTACGATATTTGTGATGCTTTGTGGAGCTAAACAAAAGAGTCTATGCAGATTGGCAGATTTCCCAAGTGCTTCAAGAAGCTGTTGTAGAAGAATTATGTTGATCCACGCTCATAAGACAAGACAGGAAGGGTTACGTCCTCGCCAACAATTGAGGCAGGATAAAAGTGGTGTCCAGTTTCATGGCGATCATTTTGAGATGCTGCGCAGTGAAGAGCTGGATAAACAAACACTGGCTGAATTGGATGAAAGGCTCACTGTTTTGCCTTACCATCACACATCAACTTGCCAACCTAGTGTGACAAATCAGTGCAAGCAAGCAAGTTACCGTGCCTTCATTGAAGTGATATTTCAGTTTACCTGGCTATTTTGAATACTTGATTCTTGATTGACCAAAACCCCATGACAATAGTGACTAATTCTTAACAGTTAAAGCAACTCTGGGATGATCAGCTCACACATCATGTCTAATCAACATGCGTGAAAGAGTCCAGATCATGACATAACTATCTGTTGACGCTGTCTGTTCATTTATATGCCCCCTGTAATAACTCCCCATAAAAACTGTTGTTCAGGACTGCCTGCAACATGCTTACTCATGCTTAAATCGGGGACATTTTCAGAGACAGCTTTAGCCAGGAACAGGTCATAAATATGGGGACTGTCCCCCGAAATCAGGGACGTCTGGTCACCTTAGACTACTGGCTTTGTCCCAGTTTACAAACACCAGGCAAGATCGAAATATTATCAGAAGCATGTCCACCTACAGTAGTTGAAGTCATGCCCCCCTTTTCACCTTTACACTCCTGTGTCATCATCCAGTTGACCTATTACAAGAGGCAACAGGCCTATAGTTTGTACTGTTCGTATGAAGTGACTTTTTACATCTTTTTCACGTCCTTTCTTTGTCTGGCAAAGTTTCATTGACCACCCAGATTCCTGGCAACACATTGTTGGGATTCAAAGTCCAAGCCAGGGACCAGCAAGCAGATTTTGGAGCATGTGCAGCTCGCTTAGGCCAGTTTCAGTCCAATAGAGTCCTATACATTCAGAAAGAAAATCAATCCCCAGTTGATCTAGGTTTGGTCGTCTGACTAAGTTAATGTTTAATTTACATTTGCCATTTCACTTCCCATAAGCATTCTAACCACTAAAACCCACAGGATGCATTTGTGCTGAGTTATGCCAGCACTGCAGCTGATGCATGTCTGTTTTAGTCAATGCTCCTGTTTCTCCTGGGAGTGCTGTAGGAGATATGTAGAAGATATGCACTGAGTGTAATTTTTCAAAAAGCCTATGCCCACCACAGGTCAAGCTGCACAAAGAGGATCTACCTAGACAGGATGTCAGTCATAGAAATGACAAATACCATCTGAAAAACTAAAATAAAATCTTGTGATCCATGTCAGCGGTGTGGTAGAAGCCAAGTGACAGATAGTTCCAACTCAGGCATAAATCATAATTCCATCTTTAAACCTAGCTCTGAGGTGTAAAGTCCTCTGTTAAACCTCAGTTGTCATGGCCTGTTGTTTTGAATATTGAATAATTTGAAGCATAAGGAGAAGCAGGGGATTTTAAGGTGGTGTTGTCATACAAATCTACTCATATGGATGCAATGTTGTTACATTTTTCAATGTATAACACCAAGATTAAAGAGATTAGGAAGCGGCTGTTTGCTGCCAGGAAACATATGGTGTGTGTAGCAACTCTGACGTGAAGTGTCTTATTAGGAACTGAGGAAGGTCAAAGATTTACATGAGCTGAGGTAAAGCCGGGATGTTCCACACATGATAGAGAGGAGAATAAGCTGGTGGAAATACATTTTTCTTTTGATGCTAACTATGCAGTTGGTGGATGCTACAGAGGTAAAACAACTTTCAAGGGGATGCTTTTTGGCCGACTAACAGAATAGTTAATTAGTTTGGGCTTTGACTCAATTACCACACTCTTTCATGTGGTTTACAGATGGTTGCGCTTTCTCTATCTCCACTTTTTCTGCTCCGTTTTTTATGAGCCACCCGCAAAAAAAAAAAAAAAATTCTGTTGCGTTGCTTCACTGCTAATTCGAACCAGAGAAGTGGTCATTTCCTTACAGTGGGCCCCGGTCTGCTCTGCAAGCCGAACCGACAACCAGCCCAAAGGAGCCTGAGCTGGATTGATTCCAAAGCTGGGCAGAAACCGCACAGACCCAAGTCTTCCTGACATGTGGTGAAAGTGTGATAGGGATATGGGAAACATCAGACGAGGCAAGAAAAGAGGGGTGGCAGTGGATCCATTAAAAAAAAAAAAAAGAAGAGAAGAAATATCGATGCTGGGCGTGATGAAAAGGGGGTAAAGGAAAAGTGGAAAGGGGTGCATTTTTGAGAAAGAAGCAAAGAGAGGTGAGAGCACAGGAGAGATGTGAAGGTGAAAGAAGCAAAAAAGAGAAAATAAGCTTGGACTTTGGAGCACTTGGTTTGTAGCAACCATGTGGCGTCTTTGATCTGACCGTGGATTTGAACCAGTGTCAACAGAAACATGCAGGGGCCGTCTGTTTGCTCCCAGACACAGATCATTCCTTCGCGAATTACTCTGCTTTAGTTCGCCACAACCTCTTTACTACACCAATGTTTGTTTACCCTGTCGGAAACACCCGGCCCATTCCTCAAGTTGAGCAACGAGCTCGGTAATACCCCAGAACTCCTGCAATCAGCTAAACTTTCAATGCCGTTAATCTCTGGTGGGAAGCAGAAATGGGGGTAATCATGAAGATGCATCAACTCCAACAGTGTTGCCTGTATTAAATGATCAGGAACTGTTATTTTTAACCCAGGCTTTTAATGTAGGACACATACACACTTTTCCAGTCATTGTCTTCCATCCAACGGGACGAGACATGTTTTTTATTCCTCATAGTCTGGAAGGAAGAGGGAGGGATAACAAGGAGGCGGAGGAGGAAGATGAGGATGCAGACATGTCTGCCAGATCGTAACTGTGAGAGGATGTGTCCTGAATGCTGCATCCCTGCCATATGACATCCTGCTGATTCAAACCTTATGTTGAGGGGCAAAGAGACTGCAAAGAGACAACATAGTTAGGTGCTACTTCTTGGGTAGACAGCAAAAAATGAACCATCTGCAAACACGATTTAATATCTCTGAAGAGTCTCGATGTCTGCCTTTAAAGTTTTTCCAGAGAAGTGCCTTGAGGATTAAACTTCAGAATACTTGGATGGTCCTGGAACTGGGATTGTTTTAAGCGCTTCATGTCAGCTTCCTCAAATGACTAAGCAAAGTGTGAAAAAAGTTGTTCAGAGTGCAGGTTAACATACAATAGAGACCATTAAAGGGATAGTTTTGGTTTTCTTAAGTGGGGTTGTATGAAGAACATGTCAATAGTTAGTGTGGTGGACATACAGGTCAGTTTGGTCCCTTTGTTGAAAAAGCCGTTTGGGTATGGCGCCCACTCTGCTGCATAATTTAGCTAACTTTAACAAACTCCAATCATAGTACTGTCCTTGTTACCATAGAAATTTTAAGCACTTTGCCTTCTGAAACCCGTTTGTTTTAGCAATGCTCTTGGACACAATTTATATTCTTTCAAAACACTGTGCCAAATGTCTGAGATTATCTAGCAGAGGCAATTATGGCTGTAGGGTTTGTAATTTCAGCTCAGTCTTTCACTTTAACAGCTAACACAGTATTTTTTTGCCATGATTGTGTCATTGAACAGTAAATAATACTGAAGACCACGAGAAGAAAGCTGCAGCATTCACTATGGTGAAAGTCTCAGGCTGATGAGTAATCCAAATGACATTATAACATTGTAATCCAGACTGTGTGATTCATCGGTGTCTCACTTGTAACTGCAGTAGTTTTCTTTTTTGGTGGGCAACAGGCTCAGAGTTTACACACTTGCACCACCAGGTAACTTGGGATTTCTCCTGCTCTCCAGTTTGCACATGAGTTGGTCTGCTTTCCCTTGAGTCTGAACGGTGTCATTCTGATTTGTTGGTTTTCCCATTGGCACTTCATATTCATGCATGGCATCCCAGTCATTTTAGCATTGGCATAAAGAGGGACATTGACAGACTTTACCATTTTGTCTAGCTAACAGATATTATTGGGTTATATATGGTAAAATAGACTTGATATATTTTTGCTATGTCTTTAGGCAGAGAAGGAACTTAAAGTCAGGATTTTGCGGCCTGTTCTGAACTGATTTTGACCATTTCTTGAATTGGTCTGTTGCTAATCTCATTTTAAAGATCCTACATAAAAGGAACATAATATAATCTGTATTTGGGAGGTCTGGATTTTCAGTAGTACCCTACTGGCCAGCTTTGGTTGTATGCAGGAAAAAAACAGTTTCAGACGTGTGGACAGAGGATTTTGTTGTCTTAAACTCTTCAGGACTTCACATCTCAGGCCCACACCCCTGAAGTAAGTCAGAATGAAGCCTCTATGTAATTTGTTGTCTTCTATGATTGAAATAAGGCCCACATGACATAGATGAACAGATGATACTTTGGAGAACATAATAGACCAAGAAATGACACCATTTACATCACCGACACTCATGATGCATGGGAAAGTACGTTTTAGCTAAAAGTTGTTTGAGTGCTAAGTGCTGGCTACACCACAGCCATTGAAAAAATGGCAACACTTCTCTGGGAGGCATACATAAAAATTGTGTATTTAGAGGCGCTTCCTGAAGAGATTTCGTACAACTGTGTGAAACAATCAAACAAATGTAGGTTTATTACCAATCTTGTCTTGAAATGGCCAGAATAAACTGGACAATACACTTAAAACCAGGTTTTTGTTGGTCCAAAGTTCCCCAGACCACACCTGTATTCAAGACTACCATACATATTGGTGCACAGCTGGGCACAAGTATGTTTACTAGTTTTCAAGGGTGGATGCTAGGCATGAATTTGAAAACTGGATCAGGTCCTTTGTTTTGCAAAGCCAAAACATATCCAGATCCCACTTTGGCATGACTGTTTTATCAGCTATAGTGCATATTCAATTTCAAAGTTTGAGCCTTGTCTGTGATTGTAGTATATTTTTTGTTCGCAGTTTAACAGTGGATGTCTGCGTCCAGCAAAAACTGGTCAAAATGTCAGAAGAACACAGAGGGAATCGCACATCTGCCTGTAGTCCCTCCCTGGGAGTGGATTAAGCACAAAATCAGGTCTTGCGCTAACAGTCTTTCACTCTCACTTGGAGCCAATGACAAATCCAGACTTATCAACACTTGTGGGGAACGTCAGAGACCACCTTCAGTTTAGTGCAGTACACACTGACAGTGCCCTGATGAATTAACGGTGATACCCTGTTGGGCTGTATGTGCATGTGTATGATGCAAAAACCAGGTTCACTTAACATTTCTCTCCACTCGCTGTCTCTTTTTCGTTCCCTGCTTTATTACGTTGATCACAAATGACTTGTTGTTTCCTCTTGAGGTTTTACTTGTTGAAAGTTATCGTTGGAGTGTTGATAGTTAGAGATTTCTCAGCGTAAAGCTCTTCTCACAGAGGATTCACGCTTTTTTGGGAAACTTAGAATTACTGTGGAGCAGCGAGATGGTTTATTATTTTCAGACCCTCAAAAAAGTAAAAAAAAACTCAGGCTATCAGGAGAAAACTTTAGTGACCTAAGAGAAAAGACAAGAACATGAAATTTAAGAAAGGATTAAATAGACTGTTGATTTCATTGTTTTGTCTCTGACTTTAAGTTGAAGAAATTTGAAACTCTATAGCTGCAACTGTACTGTCACTGCTGGATAAAACTAGACAATTTGACTCCCTTTAGTAGTTCCCCAGCTAAAACCCCCTTTCAGGAGCTCTTTTAGTAATGTTCAGACACATTACAACTTCAAATATGTTATGATAATGAGGCACTGCACTGATTAGTTGTGTAAATGTTATTTGAAATGGGAGAATGCAGAATGTTGCTGATAAACGAAGGAAGATACCAGAAGCAAACATGGCGAGCTCTCCAGAAGAACCAGCCCCAGTTCCAAACCAAATGCCAATGTGTGGTGGCGCTTAACACGGAAACATCTGTTGTTGTTGTGTCAGGAACTGTTGGTCAAAAGTAAGAGGACATAGAATCGCTCAAGGAGAAGGACTAGGGGATGAGGGGTTGCATTCATGCCCATGCAAATCACTCCTGTTGTTACATCACCACAGGAACCAGTTTAAACTGCCTTGTAAGAACTGTTTCCATGTTAGATGGGCCATGAAAGCAATGCAGAGGCTTTTTCACCCTCACACTCTAAGGGTTACTGGGCAGAAAGATGAAAACATGAATAAAAACATGTTTCACATTCTTTGATGGGCACAACATGTATTTGACTTTCATGCAAGAGGCTACAGTTTGTCTTCTGTTCCACAGGGGCTTTAACTTTTTACTTAAGTCTTGAAAAATGCAGTTTGTAAAATCTGCATTGATTACTCTGCAAATCTCTATGTCCCGCTATTCTTTGCCTCTTTCTATTACACAGCTTTTTGTACAATTACAGTTATTCAGAGAGGACAGAATAAAGAAAAGCATTTGTTGTTTTCCTCCCAACCCTGGGTCCAAGAATGTCCAAATAGTTCTCAGTCCTATCAGATTCATGGCATATTCACGGTGTGTCGATTCAACCCAGTCTGTAGCATTTTGATTCTGTCATCTGTTGTGTCCGCTAACAATTTGGCCTTTGCTTGGATGCCGCCTACATGTCTTCTCTGTCCATTGTTAAATGGCAGCACTGTTGTCTGATACCATCATGTGCTGGACACATCCCTGTTCTTTGCACAATGGCTGTAACTTTTTGTTGCCTCTCTCCTGAGCATAGTCTAAGCTTCAGGGAGTAAAAATTTGTTTTCATAGTCCATCTGTGGCCTCAGATGCACTTCACGCTATGTCGTCCCTGCATCCTCTGTCTCTGCATTTGTCCAATGGTGCATCATTTACTCCATAGAGGGCGTCTGGAATGTGTCTGCAATCACTTCTGCTCTTTTAGTGCATTTTTTTCTGCAACAAGAGGGGAGCTTAGACACTAACACAAAGTTTGGACAATGGGTGGGAGAATATGCAGAGATAAAGACCTACAGACAAAGTGATAGTGATGTTTTTTCACAGGCAAAATCATCTGATGTTCAGATAAAGAAATTGATCCTGGCGGGACAATTTCTCATCTGCCTCAGAACAAAAAAAAAATCTTTGTTCTGTTGATTCATGATGCTTTTGGAAACCCCGTTTTCAACCCCAGATGGAAGGTTTTTGTCTCCACTATCAGTCTAGACTCCATTTATTTTCACATCTGTGCTTGTGCGATAAGCAAATTGTAGCCATTACCTTATGAGTATGAGAGGGCAATTGTGTGCAGAAAGAAAGGGAGGCAGAGGGAAAGGGAAAGGGGGGGAAAAGACGAAGTAGCAAAAATGAGTGAGACCACTGTGGGAGATGTGGTGAACATCAAGAAGTGGGGGTGGAAATGGAGGAGCTGGGGAGAGGTTTTCGTTGGGTGGGTGAAAGAAATTTGGCATCCTTCATGGAAACGGGGTCTGGAGCACACACTCACACACAAACACATAACATACAGACAAGTAGAGGACAGATACCAGCACCCATCATTCAAACAGCATTTAAAGGGCCATTTAAGTCATTCCAACAAAAACTGCGTTGGTTATGATACGTTGTCCAGGGCAGACAGAGGGAGAGAAAGTAATGGCAGGGGATTGCAAAGTGAAAGGGGCAGTGGACAGAAAATACAGGAAAAGTAAGTCAGACACTGTTTGTTTTTAAGTCTGCAGTTTGAATCTTTTCAGCTTACTTTCCTCTGACTGAGAAGGCTGAGTTTTCAAGTCTGGGAAAATGATTTAGTGATAGAATAGTTGTCTGGGCGGTTTATATTCCTTGAAGTGTTATCAGTAATTGGTTTGGTTCTTGCCTTGGCAAACTTTGGTTATTCCTCAATGATGTTGTTCTACTGGCCTTGCCTCCAAATACTAACCCCATATTAATGTTTTATGCTGTAAGGCTTGTACTAATGCTTATACCAACTGCTACTGGTGTTGGACTCCCTCACCCTTCTCACGAAGACCCGGGACTACTCTCAGACACCAACCTTCTCCAAAAACGTGACAGCCCAGATCAACATGTTACAGGAAAAAGGAGGGGCTGATGGTGGTGGGATGGGGCGGGGGGTGTATCTGTCTGCCTCACGACCTTAAATCTCCATCCAAGGCCAACAATCCCATCAGCAGCATTGCATTCCAATGACTGTTATTTCGGCATTATGTCTATTTGTGCTGTTCTCAGCTGAGGCTACGAAAAGCCGTCTAAACACAGCTCTCTCATACCACGCGATCCTGGCCAGTGTTAGCATAGACGGGTGAGTGCAAATATGGAGCAGAAAGGCTTTGGATAACCGCTGCTACTTGACTCCTTGTGTCCTTTTTTTACCCCCATAAACTCTTCTTTTATTCAAGCACGTACATCCTCATACCTCTTCACCTAAATGACCAAAATTATTTGAATCCTCACTTCTTTCTGTTTTAAAGCATGCAGATGGTTTGGTCTGAGAAATAAGTGTCTGTGAACTTTGCTTTCTCTCCATTGAAAGAGTAGATGCAAAAGAAGATGCATCTTTGAAAGTTTCATCATGCACACCCACCTTCACAATTCAAAGCTTTCAACCTCTACCTCACAGACTCTTATTGGCTTGTTATCCACTCGCCAAAATGAACCACCTTTACCTCTGACACATGTAAGGTTTTCTTAAACTCACAGTCCTTGCATGAGTTGATGTCTCCAGCCCCCGTCTTGTTTTGTTTTGCACAGATAAAAAAAAAGTGTTGGGGTTTCGCTCCTACCTCTATAAACCTAAGTAAACACGTTGGCTTCCAAACCATACAGACTCGCGCTGAAGGGACGCGTCAGACAGGGCCTGAGGGGTTATGCTTTCTCAGCAGTGGCTGAGTGATTTGAGGGGAAAGAGTGGTTTGTGTGCAATTTACATGCAGAGGACTCGAGTCATTCTGGGGTCGTTTGTGGGCTGCAGGCAACCATTCCCTCTTTTCACTCTTGACAGGTCGTCATATCTGTGTCTGATGACCTTCATTCACACATGGTCTTTCTCTAACCGGATTATCCTCTTCTTGCAACAGGAAAACAAGCCAAGGATGTTTGCATTTGCAAGAAGGGAAATGTTAAAAAAAGCTGCAAATGGGGAGACAATAGACAGAAAGACTAGAGAAACAAACCATCTCCATTGTATACTGCATGCCCTTGGAGCGCAGATTCGAAAATCGGTTGATGATACTCTTAACCACCTCCCTCCTCTCAGTGTTGCCCGCTAGCGTAATGTTGCTCAACTGGAAAACAGCATCAGAAGTCCTCCATCTGGTTGCAGTTTGTATCTCGTGCCAGTTTGGGTGGGAGTGATACAGAGACCTCCAAGGCGTTTAAAACAACAACAGCTCACAGTCGAGAAGACTGGTTGCATATTTCCAGCTACTGTAGCAATAAACACGCTCACACAGAGACACATGTTCATGCTCAGAGGAGCCCATGTGTGTAACCATTTAACTGATATAAATCGGATATCTGGTGACTGATAACATTCAGGGGAGCGGGAGGATCGAAAGGTATTAAAAGGGGTTAAAATTCTGACTTGTATGGCAAGAGAGAGGGGGAGAAAGTGCAGCATGTATTGGGCCCATGGCAAGTGCAGTGGTGGAATGTCCCAGGGTGTTTTAATGGAGTTTGTCTCTCCACACCTGTGGAACTAATAGCGAGCCACTGAAGTCAGATGTCCTATGAAAATATTTGGTGGAATGAGAGAGGGGGAGAAGGGGGGCATGGCTCCGTTCGAAGGTTCATACCTAAAGACAGGCGTGTAGCTTGGCAAACGCCTAGGATTTCCATTAAACTGCAGGTTTGAGGAACAAGATAATTGCTCTAGCAGAGACTCCAGCCTGAACTCTGTCTCCTTTTCATCCCTGTTTCTCATAGTCGCACTCTGGCCCATGTGCTGCAGAATCTTTCAGAGAAGAAACACAGTTTGCATGCATGCATGCTGCTGTTATGAGGATGCTTACTTTTAACATCAATGAAAGAAGTTTAATTCCCAAGAGTGTGTTTGGTAGAAACCAAATGTTCAATATTCTGAGTCACATTTGCATATTTTAAATGAGACCGAAGAGTTCAAAGCATTTTGTGGATTAAACTTGCACCCTCAGGGTGTGTTGGACCTTTATAACAGGAATTAAATAACTTACAAAATACATGGCTTTCAAACTACAAACATTTCTCTTCTTTGTGTTTTCAGTCGACAACTGTGATAGGCTTACAAAGGTTTTATGAGGTCAGTGAGGATTAGAAGCCAGAATGTGGTATGGAAATGGTCCTGGTAGCATTAGAGGTTTGGTTGTGGCTTTCCACTGATGCAAACACTCCCCTTGTTGCGCCCACTTTTTACTTTGAAGTCAGTAATGGCAATAGTTATCACAAGTGATGATGTTCCCACGTCTTTTCTGCAACTAGGGAGGAAGTTATAGCGGTTAAGCCTGGGACTTGGCTTGCAGTGAAAAAATAGGCAAAATTTTGGCCAGTGGTGTGAGATATTTTCCATTTGCTGTTGTCCTTACTTTTAAAAGGATTCTTCAACATAAGTGAAACCAGTGTGTGTGCTAGACTAAACTTAAGGCCACGCTAACAACTTGGATTTAGAAGGCAGTGTTGGGTGATTAGTCAATCCAATGATCAAAACTGCCATATGTCAATTTCTGCATGCTGTGTTGGTAGAATACAGTGGTTACCAGAGTTTTCTGTCAACTCCTGTGGCAGCCTTATGAAGGTGGTTTTGACATTTGAGAAATGACTGAACACAAATGCACACCACCTTCATTGATCAAGCCTAATCTTGAACCATAATGAAGTTGCTTTTATCATTCATCCTCTCAAAATACTTTGTTTTGTGACTACACTCACTTACTTTCTCAGACTTACTTTCTCATTTGCAGGCTTCTCATATACAGTCAATTCATTAATGAAACCATAAACCATACTTAGTTATATGTTTACTTATTGCTGCAAGTAACATTTATGTTGCTCTTTTTTTGTATGCAGATCAGGGCCTGTGTCCGCTGACAGCATTTTTTTGTTTTTGCACTGGCAGGACTATCAACCCTCAGTTTCAGAGACCTACTTAATAGGTTCTTAATCTCATCTTGGAAGGGACAATTAGTCTGTTTTAGGTTGCCTTGTATGTTTTATATCTGCCATCTTTTAGATTTTTACAAAGAAACCTTAAGAACAATTGATAGAAAGGATGTCATAGCATTAGCAGCAGCTATAGGCACAGCAGCTCTGGGTGGTTCCTTCTCTGTAGTGACCTGTTACTGTTAAAGTCGATATCATAAGGATCACCCTCTTTTTGGTTTTCATTGGTCAGTGAAGGAAAAAGTGACATTAAGGAGTAAGAGGCTGTTCTGAAAATTGAACTGTTTACACCTGAGAGAACTGTGAGTACAAGGTCAAACATCAGCTGATACGAAGGACGTTTCTACATTCAATACACCTAAGTCAACTAAGCTAGCAGCTTAAACTGAAAGGAACAGAGAAAACCTACATTCTGTGCTCATAAAGAAATAAGTGTTTCAGACCCAACGTTTTTTTTTACACCAGGCTGTAAACACTTCAATGTTGCTGTGAATTTGGCATTTTGGCTTTGGTGTCAGTGGGGATCTACTGGCCTTTAGAGTTAGATCCAAATAGACTTTTGCCTGTTAGCTTCACATTTAACCCCAGAGAGTGCTACTTGGCTTTGACCGACAGGTGCAAAGCTGCTGATTGTATACTGCCGGTTCAAAGCTACGTTTAGCCATTACTAGCTTTTACAGGTTCACATTCCTCTCACAGACTTGTAAATCCTCCTGGCGATGGTGTGAGCAGGAGCAGGAGCAGGAGGTGTGAATGAATAATTGAGGATTTTTATTGAGTGATTATGTTGTGTCTCAAAAGACCATCTGACATAATGATGTCAAGTTGAGTTGAGTATGTGTCAGCTTGGAGGAAGACAGGCAACAAAAGCCCTCCTTTATGACCCGGCTATCTTCTATCGCCAGAACAAAGTTGTTAGTGGGTAGACAGAGGGCGAATAACTCTCTGGATCAAGACCTGTTTCAAGCTATGGCAAAGTGCCCAGCTGCCCCATACCTCACAACTTTTCCTCTCACCCAGACTTTAATCTTGGTCTCACTTTGATATCAAAGACAGACTCACTAATGTGGGAGGAATGGAAGTAAGGAGGGAGAGTTTAAAAAAAAAAAAAGCCAGGGGAAATAATGAGGGAATAATTGGAGAATATGGTTTCCAAAGCTATGTTTTTTCTTACGAAGCAGAGACGTATTCAAGTCTGGAGATCAAACGATGTGGTGCTTTTTATGTTCGCGGACCACAATGAAGAAAGGAGCTGAGGTTTCCCGCAGCGGCCTGCTCTGTGTCTTCCTAGGAACTCTAGCAGCTTTCCCTTTCTCTGTCTACCTCTCTTTCCCTCTACTGTCTCTCCCCTTCCTTGCTATTAATCTGCTGTGTCATTTGTTGGAAGTCAGTCTGGCCTTTGCTTAAGTCCCCTAATAAGTCTGCAGATGATATCTCTCGCCCTGACAGTTAAAATGGCACACTGTTAAACCTGTCTGCCTTGTGGGTCTGCACTACCTTTTTCCCTTTGGTATGGAATAAAATGACTTGAGAAAGCATCAAATAAATCACTGTCACACTGACTGAGTCATATTCTGTAGCTGTAAAACTACAGAGTGTTTAACAGGACATAAAATCTGCTGTGTGTGCAGTTTGATGGCTCATGAAAGAGAGTGAATCCAAGTGGAAATGACACGTTTCCTCATTGATGATCTCACTGAAGCACTTGCATGTAGATAGGAGGCATCTGTCCAGGCAGGGTAAGACATTTCCTCGACCTTAAACCTGAGTCACCATTCGACTTATTCTAACTGCCCCGGTCTGCTGCCCCCCTTCGCTCCACTTTGCACAAATTTGCCATCTGACAACTTGTAAACAAACTTGGTGAAAGAGGTCACTCAACACCCACTTCTCTCTCAAATCCCCTCTTCATCCCTGTCATTCCTTATTTTGGCGTGCCGGTCATTTAGGTTTGTTTGGAGTAATAACTAAGTGGCGACTCCCACCCTTGGAGAGATTTAGCTCACTGGAAGGACTGAATATGACTTCATGAGGGTATACTTCGACTCTGTCTTCCTTATTAACCTTCCATCTTTGAGCCTGTCGTACCACACAGACGTTTCATTGTGCTGGAGTGGATGTACATCGCTTTGGCACCTACTTTATTACCACTTGGGGGCAGTAAAACAACCCTTAGACAGAAGTTACATTTTATTAGCTTTTAAATGTGGCTGCACAGATTTGTTTTCTTATTTTAATTCCAAATGCTAAAACATATTAACCTTCCTGCAAACCACTTATTACACATTATCCCGCTTATTAGCCAGTTACCAACCAAAGACATCAAATAGTTGATTCAAAATACTGATTCACTGATTCCTTAATGGCTTTGCTGTTGACTCACCTCATTATGTGCTGTTATCACTTTCACTTGTTTTTTTAGTTACTTTTTCACAGTTGGTATTTTGGAGTCGCTCTTACACAAGTAGCTGCCAGTCCCCCAATTCAAGGACGGTGTTCCCTCTCAGAGATAGTTGGGCCCAATAGCTCTTCAGACTGTTCTGAGATGAGAACTATACCCTGTAACTGTCATTATTTTACTTAATAGAAACGCTTGTATTTCCCACAATGCCAACAGGTAAATGTGAAACATTCTGGACTCCTTTACATGGATTGGTTTGACACTGAGAGTGTGATCAGCTGTTGAAAATTAAGCAACTTTGTTACATGTTTTGACCAATCAGAATCAAGCCTTAAGCCAATTCGTAATACCTGTTTGATACTAGTGACCTCTTTCACAGATTAATATCATTTTGAAATATCTGGTGTTGGCTAATATCTGATCTCTTGAGGCCGATTAGAAGATAGATCATGTCTGCAGACACTGCAGGCAGCTTCCTCAGTGTGAGTGGTTTTGTGTAATGTTAATGTCACATCAAATGATAACAGGTTCTTGAACAGGTGTTTGATATAAGTTCTGTTACGGTTTACAGGATAATGTGTGGAGTTAGCTCTCAGTCATGTTCTGCTGTCTAATGCATACTCCAACATATTATACCATATACTGTGCTTTGGCAGACTTGCTCTCCTGGTGCTGTCATTGGCACCAGGGGATTAATTGATTAAATTAATTAATTTTTTAACCCTGATGTTTGGCAAGTTATCTGACAACTGCAGCTACTGTTACCTAAGCAGAATATCTGAACACGTGTATTACTGGTTACTAAATACACAGCACTGTAAAAGGTGTAAGATTTTTGAAGATTCACTTCTATTGCTACTGTATATATTCATATAGTAACATGAAAGGAAGTAACGTGTTTTTAAATGACAGGTCCTGGATCTTAAGTGGCCATGTTTGCTGTACATTCATACCAGTCTTCCACATCTTGAACCACCTTCAAACAGCATCTGTATCATCCCTGAAAACAATGATCACATTGGCTTCAGTGCAAAACTTTAAAAAGGTCAGACAGAACAACAGCTGCTCACCCTGATGTTTTCAAAGTCCGAACATTTTTGTGAAGCGCACGTGCACCTTGTGCTGTCTACAACATCGATCTCTGTTTCTCTTCGTGATCATCCGCTCTGGATAGACTCTGTGAAAGGAGCCTGGCCTCTGCTATCTCCCCCCTACTGCCTCACTGTCCAAGGATGTGTCTTATTCATAAGTCTGTGGTGTAAGTTTTATTCTTTTCTAACTCTCATATTCCTCCCACCAATCCTCCCGTCCCATCAAGCTGCCAAGTGGAGACAAAGAAGCTGCTTCAGCCCTCCTTTGGTCTGGTGATTATCTAAGTGAGGGCCCATCAATCTAAACTAACTCCAGACTCTCAAGAATGTCCTCGTCTCCTGGTTGCCAGGTTTGAGATAAACACATATCTGATCTTGAGAAACCAGCCTTTAATGAACCACTAGATGCATGCAATCTGATGTAGCCTCCTTACACTTATCATAACCTCTCAAACCAGACCCCGTCATGCTAGATTGACTGATATGATCTGATTAAAAGCGCAGAGGATCAATCCCACCGTTGAAAAACTCAAAAATACTTCCTCAGTGTTTTTGTATCCCCGCTTAATTTCAACCATTTGCTTCATGATGCATAATGAGAAGGTTATTACTGCGTCTGAGGTTGAATGTGCTGTTTTATTGGCTCTTGGCAGCGTAGCAGGAATTCCATGAGGCAGGTGAACAAGGAAATGGAGTTCATTCAACACTACACAATTATCTGAATGTTTGTTGTCATTAAGAGATCTTTTGGTTTCCCCCCTTCCGTCTTTTCCTGGGAAACAGCACTCAAACTTGACTTTCTGGGGAGCAGACATGGCTGTTTTATAACACATTAACCATAAATTTGACCTGAGTTTTTGTGTTTACAGCAATAACAGATGTGCAAACAATTCCTTTCCACCGAATGAAACCCTGCTTCGGATATACCATTGCTCATATGGCACACAGAGGAGTATAAAAGTCAATGTCTATAAGTTTGTATCATTGTTATGCAGCCAGCTTTCAGTCCCCCTAAACTGTCCCAGACTGACAATGTCGACTGCGTTTGATCTTCAACGTTCGTCGCTCTTGTCTCATAGCAACTGGAACATTCCATTGTGTGTCTCTGATCACCTCCCGATGACTGGGATGTGGAGATAAGAGAGAGGGAATGAAGAGATCTGGTTTTAATATAAAAAAGGAGCCCCGATGAAATCAATCACACTAAGGGGAACTGAACAGGGAGTCACCCGGATCGCGATTAGTGTCAAGAGACTTGATGGGTGTTGACAAGACGGGTGGGAAGGTCAAAGGGAGAAGCAGTGTCAGCAAGGGAGACAGAGAGAGAAGACAAGAAGGATCTCCTCTCCCCCTCTTTGTGTTGTTAGTTCTTTTTGGGGAGGAAATATTGAGTTAACCCCCCGTCTCTGCCAGGCATGCTAAGATTCATTTCTTTCTTCATCGTACTTCTTTAATCCAGAGGCAGAGACAGCCAACACGGTTGCAGTGGTAAAGCTGATATAAGCAAGCAAGCTAACCCCAAAATGCTATAATACAGCCTGCGTTTGCTCAAGTGAGTTGTATCGCTGGCTTTATTTCTGGAACAGTGAGTCCATTTTAATGGCGGTAGTCTTTACTTTGGCCCAGCTGCGAACCTGCAACATCTCATTTAGCAACTTTTCGTTTCCTCCTGTTCATTATACAAACTGTGATTAGTGAAACAAGATGCAGCGCTTTTGGCCAAATAGCAACTCTCTGTCTTCTTTCCTTCCTTGATACTTAACAAACACTTTTGTTGAGCTGTGCTGGATCACAAGCAAATTAGCAAACCCTGCGCCCAATCTGTCTTCTGTCTCAAAACCGGAAAATCCGAGTTAATTATTACACACACTACAATCCAAATATGATTCAGTTTGATAAATGCTGCCTGCATTTTTCATGTTCTTTTGGATGTTTTTTATCACGAAGTTGCCAGATTTGCTTGTAGGCTGGTTTCTCACTCACTGACCTGGAGAGCATGGTGTACTCCCCAAGAGGTGTCTGTTTTTCCTGGAATACAACTAAACATTACATGAGCCCGCAACTCTGAGAGTCTTTGTTTGGCTATCATTGATGGTTCTTAAAAATTGTTATAAATAAAAGGTGTGTATTATATTATACATCATGCCATATGAAAGATCATATTCCCATGTTGGCCAGAGTCATGGTGGGAAACTTTAATAGTGTTATTATGTCTTCATGCTGTGTTCCAGGTTGTAAATCGTGTAAATGTTGGCAATTTGAGTAAATTTAGTGTGATCAAACCCCTGTACAGTGTTTGGAACATCATTGTCAGCTAGCATGAAGTAAACCCAACATAACTGTTAGCGCACCTAAAGTAGCCAGCTATTAAAAAAAAAATAAAACATATAGTAAAAAAAAAAAAAAAAAAAAACTAAGAAATTTTTTTTTTTCTTGAGGAAATATTTGACTTGTTCCATTGTATCTATGGATTTAAAGTCTAATTGCCAACTAGGAAATGGCTGAATGCTAATGTTAGCTTATTTTGGCTTAAAAAATTATCAGGCATCTCTCTGGTTTTTAAATTTCCATTGTTTTTCCATTAATCAATCAATCATAGAGCAACAGTGACAGATTATCAGGTTTTGGGGATTATGCAGCTTGTGACCTGAAATACAGCTCTTAGCTATGATAATATTTGAACTTCCCACCTTGAGTATGATGCCACATGAAGATGACCACCATGGGAATTAAGGTCTATTGTGAGCTGAAGTGTTATTATTCTTGTTCTATGTACAAGGCTGGTAATATGTTTTTATTCTTGTTAAATCCAACACAAAGGCCAAAACCAACTGAACTGATTCCAATAACAATTTTACTGCCAGAGAACTCCATTGTTGCCCCAAAATTGACATTAAGTCACATAATTGCAGAGGTTTATATTCCTGTATAACAATGTAAAGATGTAAGCGCCCACCTGACGTTCATATGTGTCCATGCATTCTTTCTGTCAATAGTCCCCAATAAATGCACAGTTTAACTACAAAGCTCTAGCCCTAGTCTGGAACCGCTCGCTTTGTTTTGGATTTGCACTAGTTAAGTAAGTACAAATCAAAGTTCTTTGTGATGCTTCAACATATCAGATAAACCAAATGTGGTGTTGAAATCTTTAGCAGTGGCAGATCAAGATAAAGAAGCCACCACTTAACACTTGTGTGTAATGAAAACTTGTTTTGATTAATACTGATGCAATATCAGATTCCAGTTATTCCACATCAGCTAAAGCAGATTTGGTCACTCACTAAAGTGCCCCACCTACACTTTCAGATGAGGATTTTTTGGGGCTTGACCTGAATAGAAAACATGATTTTGCACGTTCAACCAGGTCATGGGCTAACAGACTCCCTGTTTAGAGCTTTTAATGATGAACCGCATATGATATTAGACATCTAGTAAACTGCAGAACTGTGAAGTAAAACAGGGTATGATCTCAGCCCTCCAAGTTTATCCCCATCCAGAGGGCCTGACACTTCCCAGAGCTCCTAACACTGTCTGGTCTGGTCAGACCTTCGCTGTTCTCTGGTGGCTCTTTCAGCCTTCATGAGGTCTGGCAGGAACCTTCTGTACAATAATCCGACGGGACGCATCACTTGGGTTTCTCACAGCTTTTACATCGCCCCTGGTGTGAACACCAGCAGCCAAGTGGCTTCTTTTATGTGTTTCATGTCAAAAAGCAGACTGATTATGGCTGTGCAGATGTTACCACAGTTATAGTCCCACTTATCATACGCTTTCCCTGCAAACATTGTACTGTTGTTATGGAAATCATAACCAGAGTGGAATCTCCTCAGAAAGTCTTGAAGATATTACAGTAAATGCTGAGGCTGATTGGATGTTTAAACCTTGCTTTTATGGCCTTTCACTCTTTTTTAAGCCTTGATTTCAGCTTAAACATCCAGATTTTTTGCTATTTTTAACATTTACAGCTTCACACCATCATTAATGAGACAAGCTTGATAAAAAAGAAGAAAGAAAGAAAGACTTTAGTGTACACACACACACACACACACACACACACACACACACACACACACACACACACACACACACACACACACACATATGAACGCACCCTCTCTCAGCCATGTTTGTACAGCCCAGCAGTGGATTTTGGGAGGTGTGAGGCCAGAACTGGCAGGGTCCTCTTACACAGCCAGAAGCTCTTAGCCAGCAGCTAATAAAGACTTGCATTGATCCTGATGGGTGGGGTGGGCTTCAGCGTGGGCCACAGTCAAAGGGGGCTGTGACTGTACGCTGGTGGTCTGGTTAATATGCATGAATGAGTGTGTGTGTGTGTGTGTGCGTGCGTGTGTGTGAATGTGTATGAGGTGCTTTGTGAGCTGTTTTCAACTGGCAGAGGCAGGAGAATGAAACACCCAGCGGGTCCAGTGAAGTTTAAAGTGAGTGATCAATCAAACAGTCCAGTTAACAATTAATGGTCCACCACAGGAATCGAAACCATCCAGGGAAATACTTCTAAACTCTAAGTGTGAGGGGGAAGTGGTCAACCAGTAAAAAGATCAGAGTACATAAAACTTACTTTAGGATAAAAAATGTGATTTCACAATACAATATAATGAGGAATATACAACACTGTGATATAGGATTGGGTACAGTTTGATACAGAACAATACGATACGATAAAATGTTATACAATATGACATGATAAAAGACGATAAATTATTCTACAATATGATACGTTGTGATACAATTTGATTTTATATGATACAAGACAATGCAAGCCAGTATGATATATGATATGACATTATATGATACATGATATGGTATGATATGATATGATATAATATTATATGATATGATATAATATGATGTGATGTGATATAATATGATGTGATGTGATATAATGTAATATGATATGATATGACATAATAGGATATATGATAAGATATGATATGATATAAGATAGGATAGGATAGTATACAATATGATATGATATGATAAATGATATATGATAAGGTGCACTGCAATAAGAGGAGTACAACTTGACACTTTATGCTACAGTCAGACACAATATGATACTCTACAATATGATTAGATACAATAGTATCAGTATCTGATACAATATGACAAAACTCAGTTTGGTTTGATACAACAGAGTGCAATAAGATTGGGTACAAAACTACATTGTATGCTACAGTTTGACACAACATGCTACAGTACGATATGCTACAAAATGATACGCTACAACACATCGCAGTCTGATATGATACAATTTGATTCACTGTGATGCAATATGATAAGATGCAATGTAATGCAACACAATGTAAAATAAGGTTTGATTTGATACAAAGGGAACAAAAGAAGCTTTAGCTCGTTCACAAAGATGCTGGGGTTAATGAAAACTGCCAGAGGAACAATCAACAGTTAAAAATGTTTAATCGAGCAGTATTTTCAAAAGAGGTGTAAGCTCTTTTAACTGGAATAAAACAAGAAGGAGTAAGAGATTTTGTATCATCTCTGTGTGGGAAACACTGGTGGTGCATCCTCATCATTTGTATCCACATACTTCATTTCAGCTACCGATATAAGTGACTTAATGATAAGAAAACAAAAGTCAGCACCTCTGCTGTTAATAAAAGAATAATGGTTTTTTGTCATTTATCTCAATAGTATGAATTGTCTCTCTGGTTCATGCTACATAAAGACTCCAAAGGGCAAAAAAACTGAAACAGCACTTGCACACTATTGGAGAGACAGCAACATAATTGGCATATCCAGCGACTCACATCCCAACCCACCTGCTCATCCTCCGATCGCTCCATGTCTCATCGTCTAGGTCCTCAAGCAACATTTTTTTTTGTTTGTTTTCTGGCTCATTTCCTGATAGTGGCTTTGTCTTAATACCAACAATGCATTTAGTCAGTCTTTTTCATTGTAGACGTTTAAGAGGAGCTTGCAGCACTTTGACATAAGTTTAAGCTTTTTAAATCTAGCTGGTCCCTTGTGTGATTTCCTGAGCATTTCCCTTTAGTCTACAACAGTTGTCTTGTCATAAAGTGAGGCCACGAAACTTTCAAAATGGTACCTTTAAAGTTTGGAGTAATGAGACGCTTTCTCTCGCTCATTTTAGTACACAGGAAGGATTGCTGCTCCAGCTCTGCAATGTACAGTTAGTAGTAGTCACCGTTAGCCAACTGGCATTAGTTGATTATAGACCGTACTAAGTTTCCTGGCTTAGTATTTAGATACTACTGGTTATCAACACTTTGAAACTTTGAAACCATATTAAAACAAGTTTGATTTTCTTGTAAAGTTTTATAGTACTTGTGGGATATTTCAAGCGAAGAGCGACCCTATGAAGCAGACACGAGATAGGTTGTATAATAAGTAAAAGGCAAAACTACTATATCAGATGTGGGAGAGTGAATTTTGGCATCAAACCTTTTGCGAACCACAAAATTCGTCAGCATGGCTCCAGCAGAAATTACACATCTGATACAATGGATTTAAAAATTGCTGCCTCTGCCTCATTATGATTATGGCTCCAAACAATTGTTTTGTGGAATTCTCGGCTCCTTGTCTATTATCTGCCTTTCTGGTTGTCTGTCCCGCTGCCTGTGCCAGAGAAGCCCATTCAGATGGAGCCCAGTCAGTCTGCAGTCCAGTAGCCTCCAGCACGGAGGCATTTCAGCTCCTTCAGGGGGATTTGACCAAGATTTCCTGCCCCTTATTAAATTATAATCTCCCTTCTACCTCTCTTTCTTGCTCCCCTTCTCTCCATTTCAGACAAAAAAAAAAAAAAACAGGCCTCCCCGTTTGTTTTCCTGCCAACTGATGTGTGTGTTTGTGCGCTCGCGGTGTGTGCATGTACGTGTGAAGCTGTTTGGGCCTCAAGCGGAAGGAGTGTGTACGATGATTGGCGAGGCACGCATCTCAAGTGGGTCAACGGGGAGATCAAGAGCTGAAGCTTTTACTTTCTGCTCCCTTTCATTTTGCTCCACCGTGTCCCGTTTTTTTCTTTTTCCTGTCATAATGACTTCATACCTCCTTTAAGGCTCCTTTCTCCTCTCCTTCTGTTGCTTCAATTTCATTTATAGGGAGCTTCCCTCTTCTCTTTCCTCTCCTCTTTGTCCCTTGACACTAGTTTCCATCTCATCGCCAGTGGTAGCCTTTGACAATGTGATCTGTATTAGCTTAGTTTTTTTTCATGGAGTGTCAAACTGTGGAATCCTTTGATAGAAACAGACTACGAGAGGACTTTTCTGGGCTTTTCCCTCCTGGCAGTCAGCCCCAGCTACGTGCTGCTCGGGATTTTTTCCAGTCCTGGCAAAAAAGAATGGAACAATTGATGGTGTGCAATTGTTCCGGGTTTAGTCGTCTTATTTCAGCGCACCAGAGCATTTCTCACCTTCAGGGCGCTGAATCGTAAATAGATCCGTGCACATAATCTCCACATGGGCTTTATTCCTCGCCACAGCCAGCTTTGCCTTTGGATGACCTGCCACCATGAATATTTTGACACCCAGTCAGGAAATAACGGGGCTCTGTTGCGAAAAAGTTCAACTAGTTATGAGGAAAAATTATGATTCATTCGTGCGGTGGCTTGTTTTTGAGTTCTTTTCTTTGTCTCCTTTTTGTCAGCGTTCTGTGTTTTGCCTGGCCTGCGTGTCTTCTGCACATTTCAGATACCTCATTCTGGCAGATGCAAAGCCACCCACTCAGTGAAGGGAGGAAGGTAACAGTTACTTGGAGACATGGCATAGAAACACACAACACAACACAGAAAAAAAAAAGTTCAGTCCAGTGCATTGAAGCCTAAAACAGCTTTGCATCCAGTGTGTGATTCTGCCCAGTACTATCTCCTCTCGCTACTGAAGAAGCTACACCAGGCCTGTGAAGCTTTGGGTTTTTGCTAATGTAATAACGGGCTAACAAGATAACACCAATGTCATTTGATAACAACTTATATTTGTTGTGAGAAAACAGTAGTCCTCAGACTTATGACTGTGTTGGTGACAAGATGGTGTTTGACAGTAATGGTTGCTCGATGTTATAGATTACATTTGTGGAAGTGAACATTCAAACATCCCTGGCTGAATAGCATCGGAAAACATTTGGTTTTCTGTTAAATTGAAATTCCTCATCCCCAAGTCCTTTCCTTTTGCAAAAGTTTAGCTTACTTTTGTCAAAGTGTGTTTCTATACCACTCTGTAACAGATGTGGATCACTCGATGTGCTGTCTTCCCAACCTTCTTGGAGGATATCAGGATCAGGTAGGCAGATCATGCCCCCATCTAGAAGGAATTTGGACAGCCTCTGGTTCATGATTTCTTTAGTATATTCTTCCGGTGTAGCCTTTTGTTGAAAGTTTATTAAACATGCTGCACGACAACGGGCAACTAAGTCTATTATCACTGCATTTGTCACTACAACATCGCGTTCAAATAAATAATGTTTTAGTTGAGTAATCCTCATATTGCTAAATTGATCTTCTGTCTCCATTGCAGCTGTTTTTCAGAGCTGCGAAGCATGGTGCGGCGATTGTGTTTGGACGCTTTCAGTCCCAGAATGCTTTGGTGCATACCCACAATGCATTGCCCGATGTCCAAGATGGCGGTATTTGCAAAATGGGTTATGGAGGCTGTGGTCTATAATGCACTGGTTGTAGGATATATTACTTGTATGGGACATTACTTGGTGCATGTTCACACTCTCAGTGCTAGAGCCGGAGGGTAACCAGTGGTGACCTTGGCAACCTTTGAAATCTGACAGGTCTGATTGGCCACTGTGACATTTTGTCAGAGGTCACACTTGTATTGAAATCAGTTATTTGGGTTGTGTTTAACAATATTTCTATATGTGTGGTGTTCACAGCTGCTTTATTGAGGCACTTGTTGCATGTCAGTTTGCTCTTTTGTTTGAGCCATATACTGTTTTTTCAAAAGTTGTGTTTTAAGTGGTAATACCTTTAACACCACAGGTTTTTTGTTGTGTTAACATTTGTCTTTCCATAACAATGTGTCATCTCCTCCAGAGTATGTCCAAACAATTACACAGCACTTTTGTTTGGTTTTAGTTTTCTTCTTTACATGCTGCTTGAGCTGCTCTGTTGAAGTGGTTCTCGAATTCTCAAGAAGCTCAACAAGAATTCTCTTGTTGTTTCCATGACAGGCTTGGCAAGACAGAGCAATATTTAAAAGGTGTAATCGTACTGTTGTAAATGTAGCAAGCATCTAGCAACAAAGGTTTTTTTAACAGTGTTTTTGATATTGCCTCTTTTTATATTGAACTGCTTCAACAATCAGTGAAGTAAAGACATCTACCTCAGGTCTGGGCCAAGTCTTTACTCCCCCAGGGTTAGAATCCGAGTCAAGTCTCAGTCACCAGAGAGGAATCCAAGTTGAGTCCCCTAAAGATTTTCACGGACTGCTACTTTACTCCAATTACCTAGTGTTCTAAGTGTCCCAAGTAGAGACAGTAAGGTCCCCATCACAGTGATTGCTGGTTCAATTCCCAGCCATGACCCACCTGCTGTTACTCAGAAAATTAAGTGAACACATGTCTTACCATTAGGTATCAACTTGTCAACAGTAACAGTTCCCATCTTAGTACCTCACAAACTTTCCTAGGGTGCTGAACAAATGTCTACAAAAGGATTAAGCTGGTCCTCACCTTCTTCTTAGTGGTGCTTTTTACGCCTAGATGTTGAACTGCTCTTGCTTGCATTTACTGTTGAATCTTTGAAAGCAAAATGCATAATTTGTGGCACTTCTACAGAGATCTGTGTCGAAACTATTGCTGAACAAGACCACACGTGAATGCTAATTCAGGTGCCAGCCCTCGCTTGAAACTCAATAAAGTGTAAGAGCCTTGTAGTGAAAACTGACAGAAACAGTAAAGCTGTCCTTATTAATAAAAAAAGCTCAGGTACTCCCTTAAGCTTTTAAATCCTCGTGCAGTCAGTCCTCAAGTCCAAGTCTTGGTCAGAGTCATCGTTGCTCGAGTTCTAAGAGTTTCCTCCATTTCAAGGACATTTTGCTTTGATAGAGCTCATCATAACTTACTGATAAATCTACATGCTTCAGTTGTCATCACAGCCATAAAATCTATTCCCAACATCCAGAAATATGACGGTTTCATAAACTTGTGTTTGAAGTCTATCCTTTTAAACATGTCAAACATTGGCATTCAACACTATTGTAAACCACATTAGCGCTTTCCGTTGCCTTTACTGACGCTGCCAGCCTTATTTCTGATATATCTTTGCTTTTCTTTCTGTCCGTTTGCTGTTGTGTTAACTAAGAATAATAGAGACTGAAATAGAGGTCTATGTTAGTACAAGAGGACTAACAGGAAAGAAAGAAAAAAAACTTGCCTTGCTTGATCAGGCCTTGGCAGCACACAATAAAAGTATTCACACCAGAAATGAGCACTGCAGAGAGCAGGAGGCTTAAAAAGGAAAAAAGAGAAAGAGCTGAGGTTGGCAGTCTTAACCTTGAGTCAGGATCAGAGTGATAGCTCTAATTCACAGGAAATGTTATTGCTGGGTGTCAAGGTTTCCCCTCTGAGGTGAAGTCATGTACACAGCACTCTGTAGAATACACCTCCCTTTATGGTTCTGAATCGAAATCCATAAGTTTCTACTTTGATATTAATATCTCATTTTTCACATGATCAGGAAACAGTAAAAAAGCCGATGGTGCCAGTTTCTGCGAACGCTGACGTGACCTGTCGGTGAATTTATCACAATAAAAGCAGCAGATTTCTCTCCTTTTTTTACATAGGAAAGACGGAATCAGATTGCGGATTATTATTTTTTCCTCTCTATTACCTAATCAGCTGCTCATATTGAGTTGAGGTACAGCGGCGGGTCAGCAGGAAAGGTATAGCTGTGTCTGTCTGCCCACAGACTCTCGCTTTCTCATCTCCTCTTTTCCTCTGACTTGCTTTTCTGGCAAGTCAGGGGTTAGTCTGGCTGTTTTGCAGACTTTCAATCAGAGACCCTCGACTAGACTTTAAATGCGCCACAGAAAGATGAGGTGATAGAGCATGAATTGGTAATATATTGTAATTAGTGCTTTTTTCCCCGGTTTGAAACTGTTTCTGCCGGAGGGGGAGCAGAAAGCAGGGGTCTGTTTTAAGACTCACATGCAAGTGTACATGTGTGAGGTCCTCCAGGTTAATCATTCTGCATTTAATTAGCCGCACTTGACTGTTTTTACATGCACACGAGCACGCACTCCTGCATGCACTACACCCCTACAATCCCCTATTTCTAGTTTTATGATTAGCATGTCTGCTTCTGCACTCAGATAAGTGCCCTGGGGTTTTGTAACTTGTTCCTCTGAATGAAGTCATCAAGAAATGAACCCCCTCGTCTGACTTTTTCACATGCTTTGCTTTCCCTCTCCTTGTTTTCTTCACTACCTGTCTTGACCCCCCCATTTTTTGCACGACCTACACCCCCGGCTTCCTCTCCTCTTAAAGCACTCAATCAGCATAAACTCTAACCTCTCTAACCTTCACGTGGTCTTTTCCTCCCTCTGCTCTAACCTTCAGGGAAGTTAGGAAAACACAGCCCTCCTCCACAGGTACCGTTTCCTGAATTGATGAGGCTGCTCTCGTGTGCGTCTTCTCCTCCTCTCCCCTGTTTTATGAGTTTTTCTTCTCCCTCCTGAGGAGAAAGTGAGGCCTTGTTCAAACCTGTCTTCAGTTCACCCTTGGTGCGTTTGACTATCATCTTTTTTTAACTGTTATTTTTCCTTATAAACTTCAAGACTGATGCATTTGGAATCTAAGGTTGCATTCACAGCAGACAATAAACATGAGGAATAACAGCTTGAAAGATTCACAGGAAAAATATTGGACAGTCTGTGCATGCACCTGTGTAAAGTCAAAGAGTGTATTGTGTCATATGCAGCGCAGATATACATTTATCATCATTATCACCACCCAGAGAAGTAAAGATTGATGGTATCTGCGTGCAGTGGCTTCCAGACGGCCCACTGGGATGCAGGAGAGTCCTAAGTTAACGGCCTTGCTAGATGTAGATCTTACAGAGAGTGGATGGACACCCTAACAACTCTTTATCGTGTCAGATATGCAATCTAAGTGAACACAGGCCTTCTTACTTTGGCTGTCCATGAAACTTTCCAACCAAGCTTCTGAGATTTTGGATGAACTGATATGATCAGTCCTGCAGTTGACAATTCATTGAATTCTGAGGGCAAATTCATTGGCACCTGATTCGAAAACTGTTTCATAGTTCAAATACCTGAAAAGAATATGTTACGGTGGCCAATAAGGCTAACCAATATGCAACAGCACCTAAATGTCAGGAGGACTGTGCTGCAAATGTAGAAATAATGCAAAATCAGTTGCAAAAGTCCAAATGCAACAATGGGAAAGGGGCTGCATCAAGCTCAAACTGCTGCATAAACAATGGAAAACAGTTCATTGGTGACCTGAAGCATCCTTTTCTCTAGTTAACTTTCATTTAAACTCAACAAAAATACAATCTATTGCTAAAATGTGGAAGCGGCACAGTTAAGCAACAGTCAGCACCACCAATGGTGATGGATGGCTCTTCTCACTTTGCTGCAGGACAGAAAGATTCAGAATATCTTTAGTACCCACAGCCATCAGACTGTTCTATTCTTCTGTAAAAGTGGATAACTTGAGACATGAGATTACAGACAATTGAATTTCTCTTCGGGGATCAATGAAGTTCTTCTTATCTTATCTTAGCTTATCCTAAATGTTGAAGTTCAGTTGCTACGGAACCGAATTAGCATCGTAGCTAGTGCACACCCTGGATTTAAAGCCTATTGCAAGACAAAGTCTGCTAATTGTACTGCTAGCTGTGCCACCACCTGAGAGTTGTAGCTAAACCAAGTGTGAGGAGAAGAGCTACCTTAAACACAGTTAGTTGTCCAAGAGAAACCATGTCTGATAAGAGATGTTTGGATTTTGTACAGTTTACAAAGTCTTGTTTCTGCATGGTGGCCAGTGGGGCTCTTCCCTCACAGACACCTGCTCTGGCAGTAAATGTGTGGTATGTTGTCTGTATACAATCATGTCTTTTTTGTAACTGTTTTAAAATGTTTTACTGGGCACCTCTGGAGGCCTGGACCTCCTCTGTTTTCATGTCTCAACTTGCAGCTTTTGTCTTTGGTATGTGTTTTCTTTGTTTGTGCATATTTGGAATTGAAGTGTGTTTGCTATTAATGCAGCTGTTTTGCCTTTTTGTAGCCTATTATTTGTCATCTGTTGCACATTTGGAACATTTCATTTGTCTTGGACTTTTGGATTTGTTAATGAATGTGCGTCACTATTGATTTTGTAGCATGTCATGGAGATACATTTTTGGGCCTTTGTGGACCAGTCAGCCTTGTCAGGGTTGTTGCACTCTGGTTTGCCTTGTTAGCCACCATAATTTGAAGTTGCTGGGGTGCTGGGTTAAGCTTCATCAGTGGAAGAGATGTCCCAAATACAGACTCTGTTGACTTTGGCACATCAGCTGCAGATTTGATCCTTGTCACCAACCTTTTGACTTATCTACCCCACATTTCCTCTGTTAGCCTGTCCAAGAAAGACAAAAAATCCCCCATTTATAAAACATCTGTTTTAGATATTGAAATAAAGAAATAATCAAGTTGTTGAGAGAAAAGCCTCTAAACTGTGAGGCTTGATACTACTACTAAATAGGAAACCACTCCGAATGTCTTCAGGTTTGATTGCAGATCAATCACTGTGGGTTTTAGGAGCTAGAAATTGGTGGTGCACATAACTATAACCTTTTAGCATTTAATAAACCAGTGAAATAATAGATCAATGGATAATAAGCTCATACTGGTTCATGAAAATAGTCCTGCAGTGTAAGACCGAAAGTAAGCACAGCTGATCTAAAGTGTGGCTCGGTCACTATGGTCCGAGTCAAGTAAAGGATTTACACCAGACAGATTAAATATATAAAAATCAGTGGGATATATGTAGCCACATGCTTGTGCTAAAGTTGTTTGGGATCCATCCTACCATGTACAAGCAACCCTAATAGCAAGTCCAGCTTTTTTGTGATCGAGATCATTTGGCTATGGAAGAGACTGCTCTATAAAGGGTCATTCACATAAGCATTTATCACATAAGCAGAGTTTTAGGACTAAAACTTCTTCATTTCAGGGTAGAAATCTGCTAAATATAAACCAGAATTTAAAGCTCCTGTGAGGAACCTTCAACTTGAGTTGACTCTCGCGCCCCCAGTGGACAAAGCAGTCTTTGCTTTTACTGTCCTTATCACGCTTATGTGGTGTCTTCTCACTGAAAATCTCAAACTGTTGACTTTTGACAGCCAATTTATCATCCATCATGAATATTTTAAATGTCAAATGTAAAGACAGGACTGTTCCTGGCTGCTCGGTCGACACCTACCCCCTCACACTGGTTTAAGGCATTCAAAACCACAATGCAAAAATGGTCAGATGTGTCACTGATGGTCTTGTTTGCTTTAGTATTTTGTAAAAATGCAGCAATAAATATTTCAGGTTATGTCATAAATGTTTAAAAAAAAAATCCCGACAGGAGCTTTAAAGAAAGTAAAAGTTTTTAACAAGTAACGCGAACATTTTGTAATGAATGGATTAAAGGACATGTTCCCAGCTCGGTGTAAGACTAGCAAAAGGTTTAGCCCAACCGGACTGAGTGGAGTAGTCAGAGATCTTTTGGAAACCACTTCATGTTGAATAAAAGACATGATCTGTTGTGTATCTTTCTAGTGACATAACATTGTGCAGTTTATTTATGTGTGAGTTGTATGTGCTCACAAACCTGTAAGTACGAGGCATGTTTTAGTAGAAATCTAAACAGTAATACATCACGCTTTGACATTGAAAATAATCATTTATAGTTGTCTTGTAATGACTGCCCAGTAATTAACTAATGATTGAATGGAAACACTTATGAGTGATCAGAGGAGCTTTTATTGTGGCGGTGCACCAGGGACTTTTCCTGAGAGGCCACCAAACAAAAGCTTCACTTTCCAACTGGTGGTGACTGTAATAACAGATGTCTCATCGTATATGCGTAAGCTATGTGGCCACTCTGACAAACACACGTGTTGGACACATTACATGAACAGCCATACTGTTTGCTGCTGCTTATTTATACAGTGTTGAGTAATATGGTGTGCGTACAAAGCCACCGAAAACAGTGACCACTACTCAAATGTTACGCAGTGAGTGAGCTGACACCGGAAAGGCGTAATGGGCCAAGTGCCACTCAGGCTGAAGGAGGGATTACCTCATTCAACAGAAGGAGATTCTCTAAATAAAACCCAACACGCTCAATTTCCTCCGTCCTCCACATACACAAACACAAGCCGTCACACTCAGTAAGAGCTGTGGTACTCTGACTGCCAGCATGTTGTGTAACTTCTTGCTCACCTTCTCCCACCTTTTTCTGCCCCTCAATCTCATGTGAAGGCGTCCTCAGAGGTCAATGCGCTCTGTGTTGTCTGGAGGTGTGATACCTTGGAAATGTGTTGGCATGTTTGTGTAAGTTTCCTTAAAGTTTACAGGTGCATGTCTTTTTTTTATTGCTGCAAATCTGCAAAATCTGTTCATACTTATATGTCTAGACTACAGATTTAATAGAAAACCGCAGATGTATAAATTGAGCGTATTCGAAATGTTCTTTTTCTTCCCCTCTAGAGATGGAAATGCATTTTGGCTGTAAAAAGAAAGCTTCCATAATTTCCTTTATTAAAGGATGATGGTTGCGGTTAAATAACAACTGGCCACCCACGTGAGCTGATGATAAAAGTCAGGAATGGTTGGCTCGTGGTTGTGGCTCAGGTTAGTGCGAAGAGGACGAAGCAGCGAAAATTTGTGGTTGAGTTTGAAGAGATGGGTTTGTGGTTGTAACCGAGCTATCTAACCGTCATGCACCTCGGTTGTTGTCGAACCATTTTGGTGTTTTTTTACAAGCTGGCATTATGCGGTATATGATGTTCAGGTGGTGACTCCTCCACTTACAGAGAGGCTCAAACTTCTGCCACAAAAACAACCGCTCTCTCTTTCCCTCTATGTTACTGAATCCTCACCCTCAGAGTACCTTAAATCGGTCTGTGGCACATGGTTTAGGAAATGCCTGGCAGTCTGGATTCACACGTACCACTTAAGGGAAGTGGAGGCAGAGCACCTTCAACCTCACCTCCCCAGCGCTGTTGATTTCATTAGCCAGTAAACGGAGCAGTTAGGGAAATGAGAGCTTGGCGTGCATGCAGCCGTGGTGTCTGCGTCTCTTCTGCCCGTCTGAGGAGGCCACTTGAGATGATGCTGAGTTTGAATTTCGAGGCTGTTGAGTCTGCCATGGCTGGAGAAAGCTTTCCCCGATTAGCGTGTCAGTTCTGTTAAGATGGCATCCAGCACATGTTTCAGAACGACTGCGAGCTTCAGGTTGTGTTTTGGTCTGTGACTCAGATTTCCAGCTGGTCTGGAGAAAGATCAGTAAAATGTGCTGTGTGCGGGAAGGTGGCATGTCTGTCCAAGTTCATCAGGTGCACTCGCCAACATGTGTCTCTGTGTTTCATTTAGACATGGCTGGATTTCTGAACAGGGCGTAGAAAGCTCAGACCAGAGGCTTCAAGAACATTTCTATTTTGAAATTCTCACAGATGTCTTAATTTTATTTTCCTTACCTTTTACTGCTGTGTTTCTGAAAACCAAGTACAATCCAGTTTTAGTTTTTGACTGTTTCAAAGCTCCTGGGAGGTACTTTTGGAAACCCCTGTGAACAAAGGGTACATCTTATGTCTTTGCAGTTTTGTGATGTACAGTGTGAGATGTATATATTTTCTAAACACTAAAAATGAATTACCTTTGCTTTGGAAATGTAAAAAGAAAAGTGTGTGTCAGCGGCATGCTTTTAATCACATTTCCTGACACTTAGTCCATGGCAGCAGTTTCAGGCAATAAAAATAATAGCATGGATTAGTCTCTCTTCTGATAGCTTGGCTTGCTTTTGTAGCTCATAAAGTGTAATCAATATAAAATTACTCTGTCATTACAAACCAAATACAGGAGCTTGGATATATTCTGTATCTTAAAATAAGGTAACAGCTGTAAAACTGATGAAATCAACTAGACAGGGGAACAGCTCTACTTAAAGGCGCTGTAAGGAGATTTCACCGATTTAAGAAGGATGCAAAATCAGAGGCAAGGAACCAGAAAAAGGAAACCAACTCTGTTTATGTGTGTATTGGTAAAAGAATATTAATGATCATTTTAACCTTCAGAGCTGTGGTACTCTTCATCTGCAGCCCCAAGGCTTTCTACCACAGCTTTTGTAGTTTGCAAAGAAACTGTACAAAAAAGTACAGCAGCATCATCAGCGAAATGTTTTACTCACTGTGAGAAAAAAGTCATGTGACCTGACACCAAACCCTTCACAGTGATTTCCATCTGTAAAAATCACAACAGAGAAACTATCAGACCTGTTCCTGATGGTCTCAATGGCTACTGGAGGTCATAAAGAAGCACTGGTGTCATTTTAAGTCTGTTTCTCAAAGATACACAATCATTACTTCCTCTGCTGGAGCCATGCTTGTTGTCAGAGACTCTTCTTCTTTGGTGCAACTTTTGACTCTGAGTGGGACAGCAGCAAACCTCCAGTGCAGTGGCTCTCAACTTTTTTTAAGTCATGACCCCCAAGAGTAATATTACAGGTGTTTACGGTGTAGCTGTGACACTGCCTGTTTGTGAGTACCATAACAGCTCAAGCCTTAGTCGTCCCCTGCAGCTGTCATACAGCTCAGACACTGTCAGTCTGAAACAAATTATGTCACTGGTACAGCAGGTAAAGTAATTCAATATCCATTACCTAGTCAAAAATCTGCTATTTTACTTCTAATACGTCCACAACCATCTGGCAACCTCCGAGAATTATCCTGCAGATCCAATTGGGGTCATGACCCCAAGTTAGACTATCACTGGGCCAGTAGGTGTATTGTCTAATGTTGGACATGTTGTTGTGTGCAGAGGTTCATACACAGGTTTAGTGTTGGGTGAGTTATTAGAAATATGAAAATAGTTACAATTACTAGTCACCAACACCAAAAACTAACTGAATCACTGAGTTACAGTGTAATCAAAGTATTACTGAGGTAGTTCTTGTCTTTGATTGCTCAACACTCTTACTAACGCGTCCTGCCTGTGGTCTCTGTGGTGTTTTACTGATTAGATGTTTGAAAGCAGCTGACTCAACAGCCGGGAAGCAGTTGGCAGTATGTAGCTTCTCTTTAACAACATACCTTGCAGTAAGTCCTTCAGTCCTTCCCGTTGTACGGATTGTCGAGCCGAATGCGAATTGAAATCAGGTTTTGGTTATTCTGATGGAATGGTCTGCAGATAAACATGAGCTGCACCTGGGTCACAGGTGTTCGCAGCCCCGGGCAACTAGTTTAGCATAATGGTAGGTGCATCATGAGGTTAGAATTTTTAGTCTTGGCGGTGGGAAGTGTTTTCGTTTCTGTGTGTAGACTGCAACTCACCACTTTTTACCTCAACCAGGAAAATTCTGTCTTTAATCACTGATATAAATGAGTTAAAACTCCTATGAGGAACTTCTGGTTTTTGTTAGTTTAGGCACCTCCTGTTGACAAAGGAGTCTGGTTAACTTGTCCTTTACATACTTAAGTAGCATCTTCTGACAAAAAAATCAAATTCAGCTGCAAGTTTTGGAAGTCAAATGAGTCATTTATTTGCATAGTTCATGTTGATATTGTAAAACAGGACTGTTTTCTAGGCTGCTACATTAACACCAAACCCCTCAGAAAACAGAAATGTAATTCTTGTGACTGATGGTCTTGTTTGCTTATGTTCACCATAAAAATGCATCAATCTGAATTTCAGTCCAAAATTTCCTTACAGGAGCTTGAAGCAGCAAATTGGCACCTAAAAAGATCTGAATGGACTACAAAGAGACGAAAACTTGACTTATGAGTAAACAAATAAGGTAGCACAAAACAGAGACAAAACAAAAAAGTTAGCAAAAATACCCAAAAGAAAAAACAAAACAACGTAAAAGCTAGCCACAATGTGTTCAAAGAAGTGCAAATTAAGCAACAAGACACAAAAAACAACAACAGTTATACAAAAAGACTGACTTTAAACATAGACAAAACAGAGATATAACTACTGAGAGACACTTGCTGACAACAAAGACAAACAAAGCAACAATTAAATCTCTTTAAAGAAACAAGAAAAGTCTGTAGAGCCACAACAACTACAAAGAGACACAAAGACTACAAAGATAACAAAGAACAGAACAGAACAACACAAATCAAATACAAAGAGACAAACCTCCTGTAGAAAGACTCAGAAATACTACACTGAGATTATCTTCCAGTCTGGATGTTTTCCTCCTGAGTTTAAAGGAAGGGGGGTGGGGGGGTTCCTTTCACTGCTGTGCCTAGAGGCCCATTTCCTCATCATCTGTACATGGATGTTGTCATCAGACATGACATTCAGTTATTTGACAGCTGTCTGTAAGTAGGAACAGCTAACTAATCACCTTAAATAATGATGGCGGTGCCTTTTTCTAACTCAGGGTCAGCCCGTCCCCTATTTCTTCATCAATGTCCTGTTTTTGTTCTTCTGTTTTGTTCTTTCTGTATATTTGGATCTAATACTCTAACGTGTGTAGTTAATTTTTCTCTTTTTTTTCCCCTAGCTAAATCTGTTTTATATAAAATGTCACTCAGGCTGCCAGGCGAGGCTCCTTCGCTGTAACTTTGGAAGCCGCTCATGTTTAAAGACTGAGGGAGGCTTTGATTCACTGTTCAGCAGTTCTTCTGTGATGGCTTATTTTATATGGAGTTATTTTATGTGAAAATGGGGGCGAGTTCAGGAGTAATAGTATTTTCAATTCTCCCTGTGTAACCACTTATCAGATGTATTTTGTGTTCTCATGCATGCGGAAAGTACGTGCTTTGTTACGTGGGTGTTCTTGTGTTTGAGAGCGTGCACTAATCTCGGTCCAGCAGTGGCTCGTGGTGGCCAGCCAGAGAGGATTGCGTGAGATTTTTTAACAACGTCTGCTGAGCTTTTCAACAAAAACACTTGATAAACAGATTGTTGAGGTCTCTAAACCACGGTCTGTGTCTGATCCCTGTTCATGCACAGTCTCAGAGTCTGAGTAAGAGTGTGTCGCTCTGGTTCTTCAGAGAGTTTGATGCCTGCAGAATGGTGGGCATCCAAAGCTGCCTGCTAAATTACATCTACACCAAAACCACAGACCTCCATACCAGACGAGCTTCCCTTCCAGCCAGCCAGCAAGTCGGCCAACGACCAAACACTGCTCTACCAGTACTGCTTTCTCTTTCTCTTGTTTATTTCTTCTTAACATCTTTGTCTTTGCCTCCTTCATATTTCATCTACAAAGATTTGGTGTGAAACTCAGAGGTAATCTTTCTTTCTTTCCTGGCAAAGACACAGCGTTTTGAACAAGCACTAACAGATGCTGCAGACGTACACACAATAAATGAGTAATTACTAAAAAAGTAGCTTAACAGAAACCTGGTTAAACATTGGTAAGTGGCTGTAAAGCAAGAATTTGACTGCCTTGCTATGTGGTTGTTTAGCAATCACAGACCAGAGTGAGGGAAAGTTGTAAAACAGACCTGGTGTCTGCTCGCACAGAGGCAAGAAAAACACACATTTCTACGCACCCTCATGCTGGAGTCAGCTGTGAACTTGAATATTGCTTTCATTCTCTGTTCCCAATTAACTGTCCTGTTTAATTTGGCACTATATTCAAATTAGAAAATGTGAGATGATTTTCTAATTAGGAAATGTCAGCTCTTGTTTGTGCAACTGCAGTGTCTTATTGTAAACTTTCAACATGCGGGTGCGATCGTTTCTGCTGCCCAATATGCCTATCATACACACAGTGGATTACTGAGAATGATGCATATACAGAAGAGGGATGCACATACTTAATTTATAGGATCGGCTCTGCAAAAACTCACAGGTAAAGCCAGGACTTTGCAGGATGTTATGCAGTACAAAGATCCAGAGACTTTGCATTACATTATTCACTTTTTTTCTGTAGCTTCTTATACATGAGTACAACAATTAAACGGGAGCAGCTAAACTGCAATTCGAAGTTTGCATCACACCTTTTTACAGTGCAAGTGACAGCCATCAATCCAAAGGCAGCAGATGAGAAGACCTCAGGGGAGAGCTGGAGTGAAATTCATGCCTGTTTTCACACATCATTTCAGCAGTAAAAGCCAGCACTTGACACCTACAGTAGATGCTTATAATACTAAAGCACACTCACATGTACCTCTGGTGGTTTTCTGTTCGTACCTGACCACAGTTGTGAAAATATTTGGTGGAGTCTGATGCGGTCATTTCTTCCAGGAGTAAATTAAAGTCAACAGATCGGCCTGTCACGCCTCCTGAGGGCCATCAAAGCGGCTGAGAGTTGGGGGAAAACATGCAATATGCTTACAGGTCAACGCTGTTTGCATCTCATGTTTGAATGTATAAAAATGTATGGGTCCCTTATTGTGTAACCTCTCGAAAGTCGGGGGAAAGTGTCTGCAAAGCTGCATATAAATCTGAGGTATGCTTCAGAAGATGCCAGCCAACTTTTAGCCCGTTTATAGCCGAGTAACTGAGCCATAATATCTTCTGCTCTCCATATTTCTTAGCAAGAAACATGTTTCCTTAGATTTCATGGATTTATTTTCGGCTAAATGCTTGCCACGGGCTTGGAAAAGACATAGTATGCTTGTAAATGAGGCAGAGACTTTATAAATACAAACCTTTTTACAGCAGATGACATTTAACATCAGTGCTCGACTTCATAATCCCTGGACTAGATTTATTCACCAGTTTTGCTCAATAAATTCGCGTTTTTAAAGGGTAGTCTGTCAGAAGAATGTATGTTTTATAATGAGTGTAGTGTATAAGAGAAATGCATGAGGCCTCTGTCTTGTGTTGTGTGTTAAACCAAGTGTGAACGTTCACTTATGGCTTTAACACGGTATGTAGTCTGGTCACAACAGAGATTTTAACAAGAAATTAAAAGTTTCAGTTGGAGTCATATTCAGAAAACATCCTCAGACATTTCTATGATAGTTTTTAAAAGAAATATCTGTCTCTTGGTTGTAAAAGTTTCAGTGTAATGAAAAAATACCGGCTTGTGTTTGGTCATCTTGGCTCAAAACATCTCTGTAACTTATGCTCAGATAGAGTTGAATGCCACAAGGTTGTAAACATGTTTATTTATGCTGTAAAGATGCATTTTTTAAGGTTGGATATGTATGTGGTGTCCAGTGCCTCTGCAGCCAGTCTCAAATGATAACCAGTGAACTGTAATTTTTAGCACTTGCGCATTTCTCAAGCCCAGAGGTTCATACTTGATAGTAATGTGGTGAGCTTTATGTGGTTCTTGACATTTAATTTCAGAGATTTCCTTGCACATAATTCTTGGATGAATAACACTTTAAAGAAGACAACTGAGCTGATTTCAAACTTATCACAAACCTACCAATCTCACAGACAGGATTCAGCAATGGTTCACTGTAATGCACCTCTTAGTCTGCAGAGGCCCCAGCAGAGGGCGCTCATGTTAAGCAATAAACATCAGTCCAACTAGGCACCATTAAAAGAGTAGATTAGACAGTGCTGACACAATTAAAGTCATGAATTACCAGTAACATATGATGGCAAGTGGAGTTCTTAACGCTCCCACTGCAGCTCATCCTGGTTATTGATTTGGTTTAGGAAGCTAAAACTGATGACATTAGAGGAATAAACACAACTCACTCAGTCATTTCAGCATATTAAGTGTTTAATCTCAAGTGTTATCTCTCTTCTTCTCTATCCTGCAGTTCTTTGTGTGACATCTGTAGCTGGGGATGCTGGTGACCATGCTGTTAGCTCCTCTGTGTGTGCTGCTGATGCTGGGGGCGCGTGCTCTTGCTGGAGGCTACCCCCCTATTCCTCACATGAAGTACATGCAGCCTATGATGAAAGGGCCGATCGGACCCCCGTTCAGAGAGGGCAAGGGACATTACGTAGGTGAGTAATCCTTATGATTGTGTTGTAAGTTTTTCTCTTTAACTTTGATGTCTCAGTCTGCATCAAATGCGTAGTTCCCTTACTTCCAACATCCACCTGGGTCCATAAAAGCAATGCTTCAGTCATTTGAAACAGATTCAAGTCCATGAGAAAATCCCTTTGCCTTTAATATTTCAGTGCACTTCCTTCACAGTATCTTGTTGGCAGTAGTTTAGAGTATTTGAAGTCTTTCCAGCTCGCTGAACCCAAGTTATGATGATGTGGATCATAATCACAACCTCAAAACATTACAGTAAAGAACAAAGAAATTCACATTAAAACAACTCGCCATGAACAAAAAAAATACCCAACATTTCAGTTTATGATGTGATTGATATGGAGACCCTTCCAGGAATCAGCCCCTGGCTCTCTTCAGGCAGTTTTTAAAGCTCATTGAAGTGTGTGTCTCCCTGCCCTGTGGGTCCAGCAGCATTTGGCAAGTACCCAGTTGGGGCCTAATGGAGGCCTGATTACCCACTTTTTGCAGAGATCCAATGGGCCAGTTGTTTCTCCTGCCATCTGGATGCTGTTACCCTGCTGTTTATCACATATTCCTCAGCTGTGAGATGAAGGAGAGAGTGTGAAAGAAATAAAAATAGGCAAAAAAGGGGGGCAGAGGCAAGGAAACTAGGAAAAGAAGGGCTGAAATGCTTCTGAAAATGTGCATGCTTTCATCATTATCATATTTGACTAAAATGATGAAAACACACCCTGGAGGTCCCTGCTTCAAATCAAGTTTCAAAGAAAATGAGGGGCACATTTTCATTTCAGGACCATGACGTGATAGTTGACCCAAGAAACACCTCAAGTATTGCACTCAGATCACACCAGATATCAGGATTGTTCGTGTTGATGCCTCATAAGAACAACATGCAGTTTCTTCTTAAGAAGTTATGCCCTATAAAAAAGATTTGAGAATGTAATATCTAGATTTAGGTTGGGGCGGTACTGCGTTTGGCTCATAGTAATACAATGGTTCTACTACCACCTAGTGGTCAAATTTAGGCATTACAAAATAAAAACGTTTGAGTTGCTGAGTCATCATAATTATATCTGTAATTCTTACAAAATCTCAGATTTTTCTCACAAAATGTCAGATTGGGTAACTCCAAGCAACTATGCAAAAATATATTAAAATGTCAAGTACAAAGCATTTACGATTTCTTAGCATATTAATATATTGTGTGAATTAGATGTAGGTAAGAACTTTAGAAACAAACATCCACATAAAACTGATGTACAAACATGTGTAACTGCAGTGGAAACTTACAACAATGATCTTCTTTGCCACTTCTGTATGATGATGTCTCAGACTCATGCTTTACATAACAAATTGAACAGTTTTACCAAATATAAAAACACTTCTTTATCTTAAATAGAGGAAAGTACTTTAAGCTCCTATTAATACCTTCATATGTTGTAAAAAGGCAAACAAGACCATCAATGACAAGACTGATATTTTTTATGTTGTTTTTTTTAGTACATTGACCGGATGTGAGGGGGTGGGTTTTAGTGGAGCAGTTTAAGAAACAGCCCTGATTTTACCCTTTGCACATAAAATATTTTTGAAAAGCAAACATATGACCCTCAAAAGTCAGCAGAATTTTTATTTTTTATTTTTTATTTTGTCAGAGGACACAACTTAAGCATGTGAGGGACAAGCTGGGCAAAGACTGCTTTGTCCACAGGGGGTGCCAAAATTTACACAATCAAAAGTATCAAAGATGAGCTTTAAACTTGCCTTACAAGGTTTAAAACTATGATCAGAAAATCTGGTGCACCTCATCCTGCTCAAATCAAAAACTTAATTACTGCAAATGTGTAACATATCATAACTGCCCCAATCCAGCACCAGTTCATAACAGCAAGATCAATTAAAGGTATTCTGACTGGTAAGGCAAACACAGAGGGATATTTGAAAAAATAAAAAGTGAATTTCAAATCAATGTACAGATGTGGTGTTACAAAGCTTTTCGATTGATATCACAGTTTTTCCTTCACCCAAGAGATCATAAGCTGTTGGTTCTGTATGAGTCTGGGCCAGACAGAACTCAGTATCTTTTGGCTCTCTTCCAGCTTGCCATGATACCACAGCAGGTTTGTTCCTAAAAAAGCTCATATCAATCAGTTTCTCCACCTTGTTTTTTGAATGTATTTGAAAGCACAACTTTGGTCTTGTAATCCCCTGGGGCCTTTGCAAGTAATGAAGAAGCCATTAAATCCTCTGAAGTATGAAGCACCTCATTACTTTCCTCTGGGTGATATATTAAGGTGGTCTGCTGTGGAGCTGTGGACCACAGCTAAACAAACAAAATGGAAGCTAGAAAGCTCATTACCTGCCTGAACACTGTGTTTTTTGTGAATGTGTGAAAATTAAGAAGCAGGTTTGATATTTTTAGACTCACTAATTCTGCAAAAAATGTGGCTTAGACTAGGAGTGGGACCTTTGTTGAGTCAGACAAACCTCAAGCCTAGATAAACATGTTGAATTTTCTATAAAATGGCATTAAGTGAGCTGGTCCGAAGTGTAACTTTTGGACAAAAACTTTAACATTATTGTCACACATGCACTTGAAAATATGCAATGCTGATCCTGTTGAAACTTTAGGGTGTGCCTATATGAAAAATGGTCGTAACAACACAAATGAAGCCTCATGATATTCTAAATTTGATCTTGGTTTTGCTTTCATTTCTTATAGGCTTCCTGATAATTGTGCCAAATGTTGGTTCAGTCAAGTTTCTGCATCTGCACATGGTCTTGTTATCTTTGGGACATACAAATGCTTCATAGAAAAAACAAAACAAAACAAAACATGCTTTTTGTTGCATGATACAGACATAATGTGCTCTAAACAGCATATAAACCTCCACCATCAGCTGATTGTGCTTTTATTGTTTCTGAATGCTCTTCATACACATGATTTTTACAACAAGAACCACTGGGCTAATATGGTACTATAACAATAATCACTTTGCCCTCCTTGATCTAAAAATGGCTGCAATCTCAAAAACTACCAGCAGGAGGGTGTAGTGGCCTGTGGTTGTACCTCTCTGTTACACAATTAAAACATTTTCATTTTATGCTTCCAATGCCAATGAGATCCCCATGTCAGTCAGCTGGAAAACAGTGAGGTTAACTGATGCTCAGTTGCACAGTTACATAACAACCGCTGACCCCAGGAGCATGTGGCGTACTCTTTATGTATGGATTTTACGCTCAGCTTGTGTTGGGATATGTTTCAGCCATTCATGGGACTGTGCAAGCAGTCAAAAAATCACCATGTCCCTGATGAAAAAGGTCAATAGGTAGAAAGAAAAAAGAATGTATCATGTGGAGTTAGTGGAGTCTTCTGACAGACAGGAACCTTTCATCTTTAATAGGAATATCATAAACATGTTGCTGTTTGTGTTTTCTTTCTATACCTGACAGTGTTGCTCTAACCCATTCAAATGGATCATTATGATTGTGGAGCTTAAAGCATGATACCATGATGCCAGTCATTCGCAAGTTGGAGCTTAAAGTTGTTTCAAAGTAGAGGATGAAGTGGACAGGCTTAATATCATATACCCATTTGGGGTAGTGGTTTCTTTAACCTTATGGTTATCTTATAATGTAGACATGGTCGAATAAGTCTTTGGTTTGACCATGATGGCTCCTTGTTCTGTATGTGACTTGCGACCCTAAAGAAAATACAATAAAAAGATATTGTCAAAAAAGTGTCTTTTTCACAGTCCGTACAATCTCTCAAAGGTAGGACACCCAAAACCATTTGAAAAGGTGCATTTAACACAATAAACACGAACCTCTTTATATGTTTACATAAAATGATTAGACTAAATTTGATTTCTATGTTTTAAAGTGGACTATTGTTCTAACAACATTATCTACTCCTTCTCTAGATATGCCACCCATGATGGAGGTGAAGGGGGAACCAGGCCCCCAAGGGAAACCTGGACCAAGAGGTCCTCCAGGGCCACCAGGGCTTCCAGGAAAACCTGGAATAGGCAAGCCAGGTCTAAATGGCCAGCCAGGGCCACAGGGACCTTCTGGTTTTACAGGAATTGGTAAACCTGGACTAACAGGTCTCCCGGGAAAGATTGGGCCAAAGGGGATGCCTGGGCTTAATGGTGAGGTTGGCCCTCGGGGTGAGCCAGGTCCCAGAGGTCCTTCAGGACAGCCAGGTCTCCCTGGACCAGCTGGCCTCTCTTTGAATGGGAAACCAGGACTTCCTGGTATCAAAGGCCCCCCTGGGAGTCGGGGTGAACCAGGAATTAAGGGTATACCTGGGGCCCCAGGTGAGCGTGGGATCAAGGGTGAGAATGGAAATGGGAAAACAGGACCCCCAGGTATAAGGGGTCCACCTGGACTAAAAGGCAGTTCAGGACCACCTGGTCTTCCAGGTATAGGCAAACCAGGACTAAAAGGTTTACCTGGGCTGCCTGGTCTCAAAGGTGATCAGGGACTTCCAGGGGATCGAGGAGAACCAGGAGAGGGTGGGGTGCCAGGTCTACAGGGTTTGCCAGGGCCAGTTGGGATTGGAAAGCCAGGGGTAGACGGGATGCCAGGAATACAAGGTCCACTGGGCCCAAAAGGTGAGCCAGGACTTAGGGGTTCCCCTGGATTTCCTGGGACACCTGGTTATGGAAAACCTGGTTTGTCTGGGGCCAAAGGAGATAAGGGCCATAATGGATTGCCTGGTCTACCAGGGGACAAAGGAGAGCAAGGAATGGTGGGCCCAACTGGGGAACCGGGCCTGGATGGACTAACAGGACCACCAGGACTTCAAGGCCCAATGGGACTCCCAGGGAAGCATGGAATGCCAGGGCTGAAGGGCGAGCTGGGGCCTCAGGGTCCTCCAGGGTTGCCTGGTCTTAGAGGAGACCAAGGCCCAATTGGACCCCCTGGAAAAGTGGGCATCCCTGGGGACAAAGGCATTCCTGGGCCAAATGGTCCTATTGGAAAACCTGGACCCAAAGGTGAAGCAGGACACATTGGGCTACCTGGAAATCCAGGGCTAATTGGTTCACCAGGTCCTAAAGGTGAGTCAGGGTTTTTAGGGTCTCCTGGCCCCAGGGGACAATCAGGCATCCCAGGCCTTCAGGGACCAATGGGTCCTATGGGGCCACAGGGTGTTCCTGGCCCAAAGGGTGAACCTGGACTTATGGGGCCTCCTGGACTTGGTAAATTGGGAGAAAAAGGAGCTATTGGCCCTCAAGGTCCCCCGGGGAAACCAGGTCCTGTTGGGCTTAATGGTAATCCTGGTCTTCCTGGGCCTCCAGGACCCCCTGGTCCTCCAGGAAATGGCCAAACAGTCGTTGCAGGGCCAACTGATTCCCAGCTGGAAGGGGGTGAAGTACCAGGGGACAGGAAGGGACCTGCGTACAGTCAAGTTCCTCTGTCTGCCTCTGTGGCCCCTGCTTTCACAGCCATACTTACTACACCTTTTCCCCCCTCCGCCATGCCGATCAAATTTGACAGGACTCTGTACAATGGGCAAAACGCCTACAGCTCTGCTACTGGCATGTTTACTGCTCCTTTATCCGGTGTCTACTACTTTGCATACCACATGCACGTAAAGGGAACTAGCCTGTGGGTGGCGCTGTACAAGAACAATGTACCGGCCACTTATACCTATGATGAGTACAAGAAAGGCTACATGGACCAGGCTTCCGGTAGTGCTGTCCTCGAGCTAAAGGAGGGGGATCAGGTCTGGGTCCAAATGCCATCAGATCAGGCGAATGGTCTCTATTCGACCGAGTACATCCACTCCTCTTTCTCAGGATTCCTGCTCTGTCCAACATAACCCTGCCCCTTTCCATTCAAACATGTTCCTGTATCGGCACCTCAGAGCATACCTTAACCTAAGATACCCGCAGCCGTAATAGCAACACAAAACCCATAGGATCTTATTATTATCATCTTCATCTGTATCCATATCACCCTCAATTAATTCTAAAGAAAAGACAAACTCTGTGAATGAAAAAAGTTTTAAAAAGCAGGGGAAGGAATTTCATACTGTGCTCTTTGTTCAATGTCCTTCAAATGTGTGTTTTGGGTTATATTTTATGTTGGTGTTTTTTTTTTTTAGCTTATATTATGTTAATTATTATATTGTCATAATTTTATTGTTATTACTTGGTCCTTGTCATCCTTGATATTGTTGTTTATTGGATTCAGACAATTAAGTGCCTTACTTTGTAATGTGCAAGTAACAAACCCTCCCATGTGACTGCACATCCTGCCCTCATGCGCTGACATCAGTAGGACGATATCACCAGACCCTGGGGGGTGATTGGTTCCTGTGGCTGCAGTCACGTCCCCCCTCATGTTCTTGTTTAGACAGTGAGCAGCAATACTGACAGAGAGAGCAACTATACAACGTACACAAACTCAAGAATCAGCAAAACTGGGCATTTGGTGCTGTAATACATTTCTTGACCTTTTTGGTACTCTTAACAATTTTTATGTTAAAAAATATGATTAAACCTGAGTGCTTTAACCAGTTTAGGGCTTGAAGAGTGCTATGTGAGTACAGAACATTCACCATTTATCATTAACTAGCACATATTTGACAGTTAATTTTCATTGGAAACTGTTGGGTGCTCATTTCTCTGCTATCTTAAATGTAGTCACTGAACATTTGATGGTGGATCTTTGTTTTTTTGTGATAATGTATGACTCTCCAGAGATCTTAGAAGTTCATTTAAGGAATAAATGTGACTTCACATTATTAGTATTATGAAACTATTAACATCCCTTGATAAGCAGTGAATATTGTGCATAGAAAACCTTTTTCTATCTATCATGATACCTGTAATTAAGGTTGATATGTGTGCATACTGTCAATGTTTACATGCAATAGAATGGACACTGCAGGATAGACAAGGAGAACAAGAACATGTACATTGATAGCCTGTTGATGATCTTTAACAAGCATTGCATTCATAGTGAGAAGTCTGGACTTGGAAGAAAGCCCCTTTCTAACCGCATATTGCATAACCTGTTATGAAGCTGTAAACTTGTTTCTTCTTGGAAAAATAGGGAGGCGAATTGATTAAATATAAAAACATTCACTTCTTCCTTGGAGCCAGTTTGACTTAAGATCTTACTGGGTAAATGGGAGCAATTCTGAATCATCCGTTCATGTAAATGGAAAGTCTTTTCAAAGTCCCAACCTATGGTGTACAAAATAGCTGAATAATTGTTACGCTCTCTCCGTGGCCACAAGGACAAAATGTCTCAGAAATCGGTGATGTTGCCGGAAATGAGAATCAATCTGCATAAACACCACAAATAAGTAAAGGGACTGGTGGAGGCCCATGGGTTGTGAAATACAGGTTGTGTAACATTTAACAAACTCCTGCCAGATTTCTAGGAGAGGTGGTGGGCCAGAGGTGAGAGCTGTTTATTTACTCACTTCTGCTGGATGAGGCATTAAAGATACAGAGTGTGAATATTTTATGTTTTAGGAGGTGTACCCGTCTGTCATTATGTGTGTGTTTGTGTGAGTAGATGTGTCATGTTGTTCCCCTGGCATTCCAGTCAGCCGAGATAATACCAAACTTGCAGAAGTTATGAACTCTTAGAAAAAGCTTACAAGTACTGTTAATGTTCCACTAGAAATTTGACTTTAAAGCTCTCTTGAGGAGATTTTGGAGGTTATGAAACCTGACTTAATCTGATTCTGAAGTCTCTCTATGATTTGTAGAGGCAAACCAGACAGTAAACAACAAGACTGATCACTCTATTTAGTAATTCTAAATGTCAATACTCTTAGATTGGGGTGCTTATGTACACTGAGTTGCAGAGACAGCTTTCTGTTCCATGGCATGATTTTACCATTAAAAGACAGAGGGAATTTACCTATACATGACAAATTTAAAAAGAGATAAATACTCATATGTCCACAGGGGGCACCAAAATCAACACCAACCAAAAAGATCCTCACAGGAGCTTTAAAGTATCTCAGTTCTCCTCGAGTAGCCAAATGTTACATACTGTTAAAAATTTTGTTAAAGTAAGGGAAAATTTTAAAAAGTAGTTGATTAATGAGTGTAATAAATAGATTATGGGTGACAAAATATATACATTAATGCTTTATTAATGGTTGTCCTTTTGGAAGGCAAGAGCCATTCATGTTTGGGAAAAATTGGTTGAAATATTGTTGCTTTTATCATAAAACCTGTCCCATTTGAGTCCATATTTAACACAGGATACTGTATCAATTTCATCATCCAAATGGCATAATTACACTGAATCTAGGAGTGCCCTACCACTTTATGGAGGATTATCAGTGTATTGGAGTATTGTGCCAAATATTGAGCTCACAATCAGATTGATCGTTTAAACTGACTGATCAACAATAGACCTAAAAAACATCCAGATGCCGAGTCACTGTAAAACAGTTGCTTTAGAAAAGCAACGCTAGCATAAGGCCTCATCAGTATTTTACATCTATTTTACGCAAACAATGCACTTGCCCTTGCTCTTTCTTTTCCACAATACAGACACAGCTACAACTGCTTTGTATCATTATTGCTATGTGAGTCTACCAGACAGTCAAAGGCTCGTTATGTACTGTATGTTGTCTTTTGTTGCCATATAATTTTGAAAATATGAAGCAGTCATGTGAGTTATTTTTGGCTGTTGTTCTCTGTTCTGTTCCTTCTGTTTCATAGACAATGTCACTTGCTTGCTGAGTTTGCCCCGTGTGCAAAACATTGAACAAGTGTCAGTAAGATCCATGTACCGACTGAAAAAAAGGTTTTAAGTGTTTTCTGTTTTACTTTGAAAAAAAAAAAAAGAAACAAAAAATATATAAAAAGCCTTGCTTCGGTTATTAAGGGATATTTGTTTGTTTTAGTGTCAGTATATAAAAACGGCCATTCCCATTTGCACATGAAATTAATGAAGATGTATTTATACATTTATGATAATTTAATAGGGATGCCAAAACCGACCACCGAAGCCTAGAACGTATAAATGGTATTTAACAGCATTGATGAGTTAAGAGCATTTACAACACGTAGTTAGCTTTCTAGCGTTGTTTGTGAAGGATTATTTGTGGACTTTTATTTTCTATTTGTGTTATGTTCAGTGTATCAACGTATAGGATTTTTGTCATACATGACTATTGCGTGCACTCTATGCAATAGAATTTGGGTATTAAATGCACTCTTTTTGATTGAAAATGTTTGTCTGCTTATACAAAATCTACAGTACTTGATTGTATTGATACCACATCAATAAAACATTTCTTGTATGTTGGTGTCTGGCTCCTTTTCTGTGTACTGATTGTGAATATAAAGCCGATATTAAGCCACTTAAAACTCACAAGTCACCTGCACATGTGTATTACTCATTTTAACCCTGACTGGTTGCTCTTGTTTTCCAGGTAGGTACATTTGCAGTTCATTAAATAAACACTAGAGGGCGGTATACAGCCATGGTGTTTTATGATAAACATGTGAGAGTTCCACTCCTGATCCACAAGTGAGCTCAGAGCAGATGTGGCTGGCCTTTCTTGTCTGTGAAAAACATTTTGAGACACGTGGAATAACCAACCTACAGCAGATAAAAACAACCCTTAAATGAGTAAAAAGATCAATATTTTTCTTTGCTTGCCCCAGTTGAGTGGTACATTTAAAGAGTCTTTGTTTGGGTTCACCTCAGGGGGACTTGAACGGTGCATGTGTGTCACAGCTGTCCATCAATGTCTTTCCTCCCTGTGTTACTGGCTTTTCTTGTTTTAGGATGCCTTTCTATGCTTTAAAATGGTACTGTTTGTAAAGCTAAAGAAGTAATAATAATAATAATAATAATAATAATAATCATCGTCATCATCATCATCATCATCATCATCATCATCATCATCATCATCATATTTTGTAGACATCAAATGTGGTTTGGCTTTATAGTTTTTCCAGTAGTTGTCCTCTAATATCCAAATCTAGAATGTCAGTAGATCTACTTGATACCCGATTGGATATATACATAACATGAAATGTGGCTGTGTTACAAAACAACCCACGAGCGCATGGATAATATTGAGTTCTTACTTTCTGGAACTATCGTCACCATGGTGAGCTGTCATCGCGTACCCGGATTCTTCTTACGTCGTACTGACGCCAGAACCTCCATGCTGCATTCACGTGATCCATATAAACACGTACAACCGCCAGTGTGCTGAAGGACAGAACACAACATTAACATCATTGCTATTATAGGGAGAGGTAACGCCTGCAGGTTGATAAAACAGATCCGTATATTATATAAACCATGGTTTAATTTTAGCGTGGTGGAAAATGACTCTTGTTATGTAATGGCAGGGGCAAAATGGAGAGTGGAAAATAAAGTAAAGCCAATTGTTGCCAAACATTATGTTGAACAGAATTTTGTTCTTACCCTTTGGTTGGGGTTTGTAGTCCACTCCTATATGGTTATTGTTACCAGTGGTGTACTCTGTTTCTTTAGGGGTCGGGGCTTAAAAAAAGAGAGGCCACCAGCTGTAGGCTTACAGCATAAGGTACAAAAGTACCTAGGGCTGGATCAGCAAAGATCACATTTTGAAGACCATTTTGTGAGCTCTTTATGTCTTGTCCATAGACTGTATGTAGAATGGATGCTGTCTGCCTCCTCCCTAGGTAAAGCCACTCTGAGAACAGCACCCTCTGGCGACAGGCTGCAGTATAGGTCATAAATCCCACCTCCGCCAGCAAAGCTTATGGGGCATTGGAAAAACTTTAAAATTTATGACACAGAATATAATGTTTGCCCCCCTGCTTGCGATGTTGACATGTAGTTACTGTAAAGGTCCTTTCACACCAGGACCATTTTTGTCGTGCGATTAATTCGGACGTCAATATTTTTTCCGAACCTGTATCCTGTCAATACAAGCATTCACATCAGCGACGTTTTCCAGTCCTGCGCCATTGCAGCATTTATTTTTTCACATTCGATTTTTCTAAAGTTTCACATTCTGTGTGTCCACTTCTGACCAATCAGATTGCGTGTTGTTGAGACGTCTGATTCACCGGTATATCCAACATGGCCGACCGGCTGATTGTTTACGTGTTGGAGAACAGAGTGCTTCTTAATGAAAGACACAAACATTACAAAGATACCGACCACAAGTCCTTCAGGACAACTTGTGGAGAGTCATAGCGTCGAATCTCTCATATGACGATGGTTTGTGTGCTGTAACAGTTTGCTAAATGTCTTTGTTTTAACTTTCATCTGCGCTAAAGTATGCTAATGGTTGTTACCGTAGTTTCATGTGCTTACTTCAGGCGCGTCAAAATTGTCCTCCGAATATTTCGTAATTTCGTGTTCGATATTCGCGTCGGCCCCGGTGTGTAAGGACCTTAAGACTGGTTTGTGCTCAAGTCCTTTTTTTCTGTACAGCTCCGTTTTTAAAAGTTATTAGGGGGTTCATGTTTTCTATGATTGACACCTGGTACAGCCTATGGGTGTACAAGGATTGCGAAGCTCACCCGGGGGTTATGCTGTCTGAGCGGAGCGTCATCAAAGTGACTATCGGCGAATCTCCCGCCAAATGCATACAATGCTACTGCGCAAGTGGTAGAGTGCGTACAACGCTACTGTGCAATGTTGGTTTTAGGAAATGGAGAGAAAATGCAGAATAACCGAGAACTTTTGGGTTTCAAATCTATATACTGGCAGAAGGCAGAACCAAGCTGTCCACAGTCTATGGTCCTTGGTCATTGCACTGGCCCAGTTCTAAGCTAGTAAAAAAAAATACGGGTGGGCCAATAACAAGGGGGTTTAATAAAGGTTGAATAATGGTTACATCATTGAGGGGTTGTTTTCTCGAAATTTTTCGCATAAACAGTAAATGGCACCTCTTCAGTGTTTTATTAGGCATGAGTAGACTACACTATTGTACGAATTCCAGTGCCAGGATTTTTCAATTACAGAGACCGCCTTTACAAGCCATTTATCCGACGGTCCGTGAATGCGTCGACACACCGAGGAGGCTCCTCCCCAACAACAGTTCCCGACCCTCCGACGAGGATTGAAGCTGCCACATTGAAGAGGAACAAAAAGGCGACCTGGCAGCGGTTTCTACACTCCCTCCACTTTCTCCGGATAGTCACGGGATTTCAATGTTCAGCCTGCTCTTTGTAAGTAAACGATAACCTAACAGAAAAAAAGGGATCTGTGGGAACTTCATTGTGATTTGATCACGAGTGATTGCAGCATCATACTTAATCTGAAAGAGCCTGATTAGAAAGTTCGTTTATTGTAAGATGATCAGCACAACACAAGGGGGCTGAAGTGAACACGAGTGGGTGTCTGAGTTGTTGAAAAATGATGTAGCAACGTTAACGTTTGCTCAGATATGAATGTCTGGATGGCAAAATTGTTGACTACCTTAACTCCTGTAAAAATATGTACGTGTGTAAATTCCTGCGTATATCGTCTGACCTTACTGCTCTGTCGCAATGTGTTGCCCACCATTAGATTTTCTAGCTGTGGTGAAGTTCTCAGAGCTGATAAAAGCAAAGTGACGGGCTGGGCTAGCCTGGTAGCTAACTTAGCAACGTTAGCTGAGGTCTCTTTCTAGAATAAAAAGAAAAATCCGTGGTTAACTTTACGACCTTCAGTGACAGTGTGCAGCCGCTTGATTTACACTTTTATGTCATAACAAAGTCGGTGTTGTATCGGACAATGCTGTGAAAGTGCCTAAACGTCGTCTGCAATTTCACATGAGAAGAGCTAACGTTGCCAATGCGTTTAGCTAACGACGCGGAAGTTAGCGTCTTATTCGATGCTTCTGATTCGGCTGTTGCGGGGAAGGTTATGGAAACAAGATCTTGCTCCAAAATCAGGATTCTTAGACTTGTCAAAGCTGGTGTAGATGATCCAAGAGAGTACACACTATGTTAAGTCATTTTATATCCTTCATCCTGATATTTACAGTGTTTGAAAGGGCGTGTTCACTGTTTTCTTTATTATCAAGACATCATTGGATCAGGTCCTGAACCAGAACCGCAATAAAATGACACGTGATCTTGCCAAATGTATTTATTATAGAGAGGATTTAGTCTTTAATACCTGAAACTGGATCTTACTGGTATACATGTTGTCGATTTTGATCAGGATCTGTGCCATTGGGGCTAGAGGCGGTCTTGCACCATGACACTATCTTTTACAAGTAGAATAAGGGGTTCAATATTCCGTAACCGTGTGTTAAAGGGACTGAAGACTCTCCTGGAAAATTAAGTTAATGTCTTACAAATCTGGGCTTAGTGTTTCTGGCTGCAGACCCAGCTCAGTGTGGTCTATGGGCGAGAAAAGCTGTGAAATTGTCCTTCTAGTAGTTTTCACAAACAGGGTGGAGGTTTCCCATATATAAGAATGCGTATTAATCAGTCTATATAATACCTTGCGTAATCTAGTCCACATCTGGCAAACTTGACACTGTAGTTTTGGATCAGGACCCGGTTTCCACAACCTCTCCTGCACCAGCGGTATCGGAAGCGACGAATAATATGCCAACTTCATCTTGGAACGCTATTGGTCAATGTGTGAATGTAGCATTGCTCACGGAGAGCTAGCCGAACGTTGACGGTGCTAAGGTTAACGTTTTAACTGTTGTCCCGACAACTGTCCACGACAGCGGCTCCATTTCATCTGACATACCTTATATTTAACCACTGGTTATAAATTCAGTCGTTCAAAACTAATTTTGTGTTAAAATGCGGACACGGGCGTTGGTAGCGGCTAAGTGTTGACTATAGGTGGGTAGCAACTGAGCTAGCTGCCTTCCGCCCTTTGTGACAAGTCCTGACCCACAGCATGGTTGACCCATTTCTTTAACGCTAAGCAACGGTTTTTTCACCAAAACGGATCAGTTGACAACCTGATATTTCAAGTCTATTGCGTTTGTATTGTCAAACTGCAGCAATTGTTGTTAACTAGCAGGTTGACTCAATAAATTCGTCAAAGCTCTCATATAAAAACGTCGTTAAAATAAGTGTGTATGGCGGGTCTGTTATTCTGCAGTGTCTGGTTTCCTAACCATTCAGTTGACCATATTGGTTGAAGTGAAATGAGGAAATGCACTTGGGGAGGAAGTTGACTCGAGCAGCTGTGACACTAAAGGCCGCAGCACATTCCCATGCCTCTCAGTTTTCAATTTATGACCTTCCAATGGTTTCAGTCTCCCCTCTAGTAATAAATTCTAGTGGGCAGTTAATACAAATGGATGGCTTTGAACACTCCCAACAGCTTGGTGGGGTGAGTCAATGTGTAACTGGTGTAACAGGTAAGCTAATTATACATTCCTGCTTATGAGTCACTGCAAGGTGACCCAATTTGCAGGAAGAGAATACAAGAGATAAGATGCACTGATACAACAAGTTATCAAAGCATGCTGAGGGCATGGCAGTGAATAGTAGCAGAATATTCTAAATGTTTTGTTTAAGGCCGTTGACAGAACATGCATATGTTTGATTTATCACGGAAGAGATAAACGATCTAAATTAATAGCAAGAAATTTCACTCCAATGTTTGTGTCGCTGATCATACTTGTGTCCATATGTAGCTTGACACAACATTACTGCAAACATAATAGCTTATTTATCTATGCAAGATAATGTTGCATCCAACAAGAGGACGATTCCTCCTTTTCTCTATCCCTCTTGATCTTTTTGAGAAACAAAGCTGCACACATGCTGAGACATACACCTACCTTTAAAGCTGTTTAGAAAGTTAGTCATAGCTGCTAATATCCCAGGGTAGCGTGTACTTTTAAGTGATTTCACCAAGCGAAAGCATTTAGTTATCTCTGCTCTGCTCACCTGCTAAATACTGAATTACAAAACGGCCTTGTTACATTTGCAACTTAATGAAGCTCATTTTTAATCAGGACAGTCAATATAACGAACGCTTTTGGGCGAGACAACTGTCGGGGTGGCAAGCAGCTGTGGTTGCAGGTGCATGTGCGAAGAGGGGATCTGAAAGAGAGCAAAATGATCAGATTGATGAAGTTTGCAAACTAACTACAATATACCTGTAGGTAAAGTGTAATGGGGGAGTAAATAACCTACAAGAAAGGGGCTGATGCAGGCAGTGTGAGTTTATTATTCAACAGGCAAACAGAATGAGGTTTGATTAAGTACAGAGCTTTTGTTGTTGGGTTTTTTTTGTCCCAGGTTTCATGGGGTTTCATTCATTCACGCCACATTCATGTATCAGTCTGTGTCATACTAGCAGGACCAAGCTTCAGGATTTCACAACCATTACAGAATAACACTGAGAGGCTTTATTTGCTCTTTATTGTGCAAGTAGGTCACTCCCACCAGTGACCTGCTTGATATTATTGCTAATTGACTCACCGGCCAAACTAGAAATAGTATGGCTCCTCTCAGTCCACTTGGAGCGCAGCCTGCAGCTAAAGACAGACCAGTACAGTGGGATGCCCTCATTTACCAGATGCCTGTGTCCCAACACCTGTGGGTCATGAGAGGCACTTGTTTGTTCTTGTGCATAGTTTGGAATGATAAAACTGCAGGTTGAACTTTGTCTTGATTTTGTTGCACTTTTGTTCAACTTATATGGCAAATTCTTCATTTGACATTCTAAGCAAAATCTGATCTATGCTTGTAGGATATTCATAGGAATCTTTGTTTTATCTTTTTTTTCTGCTTTTTGCACAAAGCCACACACCCTTCCTTTACAAAATTCTTTCCAGCTGTATCGCCTTTGTCTCGATTTTCAGTACTTTCTTCTACTCAAAAACTCGTATGTTTAGTAGTCTGACATTTTACACCAACACAAAGGTAGTTCCTCTGTCCACTGGCAGCATTAAATAAGATGGTGTCATGAGAAGGGAAGTTCTCAGCCTTGGTTACCGTAACTGCGAAAGATGAGCCCAGCGTACAGTAACATGACTCCAGCTTACAAGGAAGGTTACTGGGGAGAGGAACACCTGTGTTGTAGTCTGCTGGCATTCAGTCAGTGTCACTACAGAGTGCTGTGAGTGTTGAAAGGTTGGGTTGAAATAGTCTTTTTTTTCCCTCGGTGAATGGTCTAATAGATACAACAAATTTAAAATCCAGTTATGTCCCTAGGGCCCTGACTGTGGTGAGAAACACAAGCTTTGATTTCACTGTATTAGCTTGTGAGGATCTTTGGCTCCAGAACTACTTTTTTGTTGTGTTGAAATCAGCCCAAAGTGGAAAGCTAGGATTAAAAGCCCGCACTTTTCCCCTTCTTTTAAGCCGTCAGTGAAAAGCCATATATGATCATGCATTAGTAGCCATGGGCACCTTGTGTGTTTCTTCTGCTGTGTGTCAGTTAATGAATCATGCCCTGGTCGGCACAGCGTTCGTTTACTGTTGTTGCCACAGCAATGGGATAAAGCAAAAGGCACAAGCTCTCTAGCACTGGCAGTGCCTGACAGATTGACACCTCTTCTAGATGCTGCTGCAAGGCTGCCATCTGAAACTATAGCAACAGGTAGGAATAGGGTCTTCCTTTGTTATTTGTGTTTATAGCTACTCTGTAGAGCTACAGCTGCCAGAGCTGCAGTTTGCCGGGGGAACATAGAGCCCTGCACCATAACATGCTACAGTGAAGGGTGTTGTTATTGTCATCAGAGCTGTTGTTCATTGGTGTATATATAGCTGCTCATCTTTACTGATCCAGAAAATGTTGTAGGTTGAAGCAGCTGTGGTCTAGAAAATGCTTGGTGGTTGCATATAAACAAGCTCACTGCGTTTTCCTCTTACCTTGGCTCTGTTTTAGTTTCTCGGCTTTTCTTCATTCCCCATAAGCAGCTCATTAGATGTGCGACCACTTCTCGCAACTAACTAATGTGGTCATTTCTGGCCACGATTTAAAGATAGATTTTGCAACCAAAATCAGTTTCTCTGTCTCTGGTTAGAAATGCATTTTCAGAGGTTAAAAAGCTGTCAGATCAGTTTTCACGTTCAGCCACCTTCTTTGATCCCTGGCCGTCTTCAAGGCTACTGCAGCCTTTTCAGCTTTGCTCAGTGAATGTTTTAAAGACGAGCACCATTGCTCTTCTCTGATCTCTTCATGAGGGACACCAGAACTCCCTACAGGGATACTTGTTGCTACTGCTGAGATAATGGTTGTTATGGCAACAGGCATCCCCTTGACGCTGCTCTTAGAAGGCCAAGTTAGTTTCCAAATGTCAGAAGAATTGATGGCACAGTGGGACTCTGCACCTCTCAGCAAAAAATGTGAGCAGACATTCTTCTGTCTGGGTCTGTTGCCGAGTGTTGACCTCTCGGTACAAAACTTATTTTCATTCTATTGGATTTCTTTCTGTATTTTCCACCAGGTTGGTTGCAGCGAGAGTAAATGCCCTGAAATGACTCTGGCTCTGCTGCCTGAATAATAATTGGATGTACCTGTGATACACAGACACTGATAGTAACACCTTGTCCTGTGCCTGACTCATCAGCAGTAAAGTGATGGAGATCTTTGCCCTGCCGGTGAGATGTGTGTTACTATTTACTTAACATCTATGCCTAGTGGATGTGTTGGGGAGACAGGTAGAGGTGTGCCCCACACATAACATACATGCAAGTGTCTGTCTGTGCTTATAATTCTGCTTCTAAACTAGGGATGTAACGGTAACCAGAGTAACGGGAAATCATGATGAAAGTAAAGATGATAACGATTACCATATTGTCATTTCAAAAACGGATGTGTGCACGTGCGGGTTGGGTAATGAATCAGCTGTGAGATCGCTGACGATAACTCTCTTATTAATCAGCTGTGTGATTGAGGACAATAACTTGCTAATTAATAAGCTGTGTGATCGCAGATGATTACTAATGCTAATACTTGGCACGCGCTCTGTGGTGCGCTGCACATACAGTATACATATACTGATACATATGAGTCTGAGGTAGAGCCACATAAGAAAAAAACTAATTTTTAAGGTGTGGCTGTGCATTACGATCAATTTCATGTAGGGGAAAACCCTGTGCTAATTATCCCAGCTTCATCCCACTGTGTAGCTTACAATTTGCGCTTAAACCTTCTACTAAGTTTGAAATGCAGTCATGGCAGAGGGAGGATATGATAGTGCCAAACACACCCATCAGCCCTCTAGGAGGACCAAGTCGGAAGTATGGGCATATTTTGGGTTTAGTAGGAATGTCGAGGGACGCTTACTTGAAGACGGTAATCCTGTCTCGATATAATGAAACAATAAAAACAAAGCATTGTTTAGCGCTAGTTAAAAGAATCAAAAATGACGTAATTAATGACTTTGAATTCATTTTAAAAATACCGCAATAATACCAAAAACCATGATTATTTTGGTCAGGTAGAGGTAGCATTTTCATACCGTTACATCCCTAGTCTAAATCCACCATCAAAAATGATGCGTAGAGGGTTTGGTAGCCAAATGAAGTTTAAAATGTGAGACTAAGAGGTGCTCAGAATAGTTGAAAATGCCCCCTAGACCTTTATTAGTGATTTATAAAAAGGTCTGTTGAAGTGCAGATGGTTGTCAAACTCTTTCGGCTGATGAAACGTAATGTTTAACAAGCAGTGTCTTCTCTGTCCAATACCTTATCCTAAACTGTTACTAAATTGCAACATCATATTTGTTGGTGTTCTGACTGGCTGAGTTTTTCCAGAAATGTTCAAACTACCATGGTTCAAGCAAGTTAATGTTCAAGGGCCTGTGTCGACTAACATTGTTTTTTGAGCTGCCAGCACTCAAAACTTTGGTTCCAGAGTCCTCCTTATCAGTGATGACCGTCATTACATCATAAATATATCTCAAGGCACTTCCGCTTGGGTAGTAATTGTCACTGTTTTATATAGGTCAGTGTGCTTCCTATTTACTTTACACATAGCATTTACGGTTAACCCTCCACTGTTACTGTTGACAAGGTTACTATCAAAGGCCCTGCTCTGCCCCTTCTTGTTTCTGATTGGTTGGTGCGACATGAACTAGCTCAACGGTGTCCCAAAAGTTGAGGTATTTTCAGTTTTAAAATGTAGAGACTGACATCAGCTGAGGGCTGTAGTTGAAAGAGGTCAGTAGATACAGTCTCTCAATCATTTAAACTCTAACTACAGGTGTCTCAGTAAAGTCAATTTGTTGATATTTAACCAGGGATGTAAAAAAAAATATTTGGTACTAGATAATTCAGATAAACTTAACCGAAAATCGCCTCCTAGATTGTGGTAGAAGCTAAACTGGAGTAAAGCTAAATTAACAGATCCACTTTTCCAAAAGCCTGTTGGAAATGAGAAAATATTCTCAAACCAGTCATAAAATATGGAACAGGTCTTATTCTTTTTGTGTCTAGAACATAACTGTTTCACACGGATAGTCAAAACTTAGTATCCAAGCTGTCTTTGAGCATGTTTTTGGCAGGAGCACTTGTTTGTGATAAGAGTCCATCTTACCTACTTAGCTTCTTTTGTCTGCAGACAATCAGCGTCCTCTTATTTCCCCGCTTTAATCCTGATTCAAATCATCTTCAAATGTTTTGTTTGACTTTGTGTCCCTCTCAGATGTAACTGTCCAGACGCCGACAGTGCTCGTTTTCATGTAAAGTGTAATTAAAAAGTGCAACCAGGCCGCAGCGATGACAGACCAGGCCTTTGTTTGGATATGTTTTCCTCTTTTCATTCCCATTTCTAAGGTACCGAGCTCTGGTCTCTTTCAGTCCTTTCCAGAGACGGATCAGTCCTTGTCCCACCCCCTCCCCCCACAGCGCTATCAGAGGCCTTTGATCGTCACACTGTTTATCTGTGCTCGCTCAGAGGCTGCAAAGCGGTGTGATAAGTGGACACTGCCGTGTGCGAGTCCGTGCGTATAGGGGTGTTTGCCGGTCCATGGAAATAGTTGGGGTTACATATCCTCTCACCTCCTGTCTCCAGCCTCTTTTACACCGACTCAAGCGGCTAGAACAACAAGTACTCAGTGGGAAGATTAGCCTCAGTCCTCGGGGAGCAGAGAGAGGTAACCTGTTGTGCTAGATAGTGGCTGAAATGAGGATGTTCATTTAGGGAAATGTCAACAACATTCAGATTGGCAATAACACAGCGGCTTTTATCTATCATGCGTCAGACAGTTCTCCTGGATAATTAGTGTTTCTCTCAATTTAAACAGACATGCACCACTCCAGTCTAATAAAGACATAGTAAATAAAGGCTTGGCTCAGCATCCCTCGCTAAAGCCAATAAAGCTACAAATATAACGTAAGCTAATCAGCTGCATGACAATTTACAACACCATAATATAGTGACATAGTGAGCTACTGTTGATGAAGTGTACAGTAAACGATAGGGAGAGCTAATCAAAAAGAAGTCGTACACACCACAGCAGCAGTACCATGTCAACATGTTTGTGCTGTTTCAGTTGTACCTCCCTAAAGAACAGAGCTTTGTGTAATGCGCAGTATGCTTCAGGATATAAAAGATATAAATAACTGGAGGCCGTCACAGTCGAAAGGCCTCAAACTGTGTAAGTCATGGTTAAGTTAATTGCTGTACTGGTAAAAGCTTGTCGTTTTATCTTCTAGCTGTCTACCTTAGTATTTGCCCGTGAATTAAAGCTAGGGCACTAAAACAAAAGTAAATTCTGCCAATTAAAAAAAAATTTTTTTGCCATATTTATTCAAGAAGAAACAATATCATTGAATTTCTGTAACAACCGGAATAAAAACAGCTAGGCTTCCTTTTATATAGTTCTTACAGATAAGCAGTCATGAGTCACTGGTAGGAAATGGTCGAGCCTTTTAGCTGCCAGTTAACTTTCAACCATATAAATATTTAACCCTGTCAACTTTAAAAGCCCTTCATCTGTACCTCAGAGTCGGAGTTATTCTTGTCAATTCAATGTGCCGAGTTGTATCTTGTAAAGCATGTTTATTTAAAATCTTAAGCTGGCTTTAATGTGACGGTGTGTCTTTACATTTGAGGCCTCTTTTGTTTTTATCCCAAGCAAAACACTGTTTTTGAAAAAGCAACATCAGTTTTTTGTTTTTTTCCTTAAAGGTACAATGTGCAGATATGTGACCAACTACCAATTGCTACTGGTCTAACACAAACAGGTACACGGCATGTTTGCCCATTCTGTGCCTCAGTAGAAACGTGTCCGTTTCTACCTGGTCTGTTCTGCTCAGTGTCAATAGATTTGAATCGTATGGCTTCTTAAAGACGCCTCCTAAAGCCTACCTTTTGTTCTCGTGGTCAAACTGCTGTTAAGCCATTTGTCAGTACAACCACCTCTGGTGTGTCTCCTTATTTCCTCTCCCCAGTGCAGACTTTTACAACTATCTCGAGCAGATCTAACAGATGTGCTCAAGCTGGATGAGACATTGTAGTGAATCTAGAAAGCCTTCAAACAGGTCGGCTCTGGCTGGGATCTAGATTATGAGAAGCCTTGAAGATTCTGCGACGTGTACACGTGTCTTCTAGGTTGGTGTGTTGTATTTGTTGGAGGGTCAGCTTGTACCCTCTGCTTATATCTAGGCTTGATCAAACACGCTGCACCCACACTCAGACTTTAACAGGAATGATATGTTTGTCTTTGCTAGAGAGTGCCAAACTAAAGTCTGTGCAAAGGTTTTTATATCTACTGTCGGCGTTACCGCTCCAGTCTGCAGCAGCACGTCGAGATTATTCTGTCAAAAATTTGAATTACAGTTTAAAACTTTCAATGCCGTTTCCAGAGCACACTGCTGTTAGAAGTGGGTAGTGTACCAGTCAATACTGTCACTGGAGTCACGTGTGGGTTTTATTCGACACTAACATTATGGTTTTAGTGCACACATGGCAGGAAACAACACCAATGCAGCCAGGAGAAAATAGAGCAGCAAAGTGATTTCTGACTGATAAGATCACTGATAGGATGTAGATCCTCTCCCTGTTTCACTGTGATACTTCAGAGCAGAGTTACACTCATCAAAGAGCACGGTCTCTTCCTCGGATCAAAGCAGGTGTCTTTTTTTTCTTTTTTTAATCCATGAAAGTGAACTGAGGCTCAGACATTAAAGTCTCTTAAGTTTGGTGACAGCAAATAAGAGCACTGCAGGTATTTGCGTCTGTTACAAAGGGTCTACCTGCTTGAAAGCTTGTTTCAGTTGATGACTTAATTATCTTAGGGTCAAGATAATTAAAAGAAACAGGCCATGGCTGTGACTCACAGTCAGAGGTGTGGCTTTAAATACAGTTACTCCAGAAGGTTGCGGCTAACTGCGGCTCCACTAAAGCTCCAATAACTAAATGACTAGTATTTGTGACTCCAGTGCCATGCTTGAATTTTGTACCAGGATTACTATGCTTTGATACATGAGAGGTTGTCCTGCCCCATTGTTTATTTTTTTCATTTCTTTGTTGGTGTGTTGAGACTTTTTGAGCACAACCACTTGAGCGGAGATGCTGTCGATTTGGGGTTATTTGTGGTAAACACCCCGCAAAATATCAGATAAGAAACATTTACATCCGAGACACTCGCAAGTCTGAGTCAGACTGTCTGCACATTGTGTCATCTCTACACACAGACATGACAAATTGTGACTCATGTCCCAATTATAGCGCTTTGATTAGGTGGCAGGGTCCAATTTGCAATTAACCCATTATTAGGGGCCATATGTACAGATTCTATGATTCATTCATCAAAGCAGTCTCCCATGCAAACATTATCCAGTGTATCCTAAAACTCAGAGCCCTTTGGAACATACTAGGGGTGGGAGAAAAAATCGATACAGCATAGTATCGCGATATTTTGTCTGGTGATATATCGTATCGTCTCATTTACCATTTATTTTTTAAATTTTTTGCTAATATGCAGTCAAATCTATGAAAATTGAGAAATAAAATCAACTGTTTGTCCAGTGAGTTTGGCAGAGGTGACATCATAGAGCGGGAGAAAGTTAGTACAACAAATATATAGAAGGTTTGCAAGATATGCTACATGAAAATAAAATACTGTGGTAACAAGACAAACATAAAGGAAAGACAAATGCTAAATTAGCTAAACAGTTGTGTGAAAATTGTGTAAATCGCAACATATTGTATCACAATACTCACTGTATTGCAAAATGTTGAAAATTGCAATAATATCGTATCGTGGCCCAAGTATCGTGATAATATCAAATCGTGGCCCAAATATCGTGATGATATTCTATCATGACCCAAGTATCGGGATAATATTGTATCGTGATAATATCAAATCGTGGCCCAAATATCGTGATGATATTCTATCATGACCCAAGTATCGTGATAATATTGTATCATGGCCCAAGTATCGTGATAATATCAAATCGTGGCCCAAATATCGTGATGATATCAAATCGTGGCCCAAGTATCGGGATAATATTGTATCGTGATAATATCATATCGTGGCCCAAGTATCGAGATGATATTCTATTGTGGCCCAAGTATCGTGATAATATTGTATCATGGCCCAAGTATCGTGATAATATTGTATCGTGGCCTAAGTATCGTGATAATATCGTATCGTGGGGCCACTAGTGATTCCCACCCCCAGCACATACTAAGCACTAGTTTTGAAATTTATCAAGCTAAAATAAGTAAAAGCCTGCTGCTCACATAGTATTGCAACATCCACTGTGGACTTAGAAAACTGCAGAGTCTGAAGTTTGGTTGTGGTGCTGGTAGTGATAGCAACTCTTCCCCACAGAGCTATAATTAAGCTCATCCTACCCTCATGACAGGTGATGCGAGGATGCTTCTCTCAGCAGAAACCTTGAATTCACATGTACCAGTTCCCCTGATCCATGACTCCTCAGTTCTAAGAAATCTACAGGTGGGCACGTTATCAGAATTCAGTCAACAAAGCACGAGGCCACACAGAATCCACTGACTCAATGTATCACTTTCAGGCCGGCACTCCTGTTTGCACACACCCCAGGAGTGCACACCTCATGTGGGGCGCAGCAGCAGTTCAGGATCTCTGGTCGAGTTCAGTTTTGCATAGAGGCTTTCATCTCCTGTTGCTTGTCCCAACATGTCTGGGGATTTCAGCGCCTTGGTAGTTACACTAGATAAACTGGTGAGGCTCAGAAAACAGATTAGAAGCTTAACCATTGTAGCTTATTAAAGTTCTGCGTGTGTGTGCGGTCCTTCTGGCATGCTCATCTGTTTATGTGTGTTTTCAAGCATTAATGATGTCAAGAGAGGGTTCTGCATACTACGTCTATTATGTGTGTTGTGTTTGCTGAATGGCGTGTTGACCTGCTCTGTTACCCCACACTGACAGGCCCCTGCAGTCTTGGATGGTGTCCCAAAAGTCCACAACGTGCTTTTGTCTTTATTGAGCATGAAGTTAATTCTATTATCTTGTGACCCACTAAAGGCTTTGGACGCTACATCAAGGGCATTTTCTGCATTTTTTCTTATCCACTTGCAACCATAATACCTTTGGGAACTGGAATGGGAGTACTAACCTGTAGATTGATTGTGCAAGAGAAAAATCTAACCTTCTTTTTTTTCCCTTTTGAATAAAACCACCGACCTGCACTCGACATGTTTTTTGCTCAAGTCCAAAAACACATCAGCAGACTGTAGAAATAGTTTGATGCACCAGTGGAGCTCACTGTGGGTAACCAGTTCTTTGAGGTTAAACCAGAGCCTGCTTGTCTAGCAATCACCCAGTTTGACACTCAACCAAATGTACAAAGCTCTCTGAAAGTGTCCTCAGGCTTAGACTAACCTTTCCAGTTGTTTCAAGTGTGAGAAAAAAACCTAAAAGCAGCCGTATGTGTTACCCAGTAAGGCTCTGGGTGCAATAAAGTTGGCCTCTGTGCTGCTTTACCCCCCACCTAGTCACTGAGGTCCAGTTTGCATTTCCTCCTCAAGCCTCTTTCATCAGTTTACTGGCAGTTTGAGAGAGCAGACAATTAGCTTTAAAGCAGCTCCATAGTAGAGGGTGAGATCCACCCACCTGGCCTATCAAGAGCTTTGACGTCACTGAAGGGAACCAGCTGGACCATTGAGCAGGTGTGATCCTCTGTTTATCTCAGCCATAGTAACTGCCAAACCCCGTTTCACCCCTCTTTTCCTTTCTTTCCTTCGTTTTTTTGTCAATACTTCCCACTTGTTTATTTTTTCTTATCAAGTGTTATGTCACTTCCTCACATCTACGATTCTTCTTCTGGTAGCTATTATTCTGTCAGTGTTCTCTTTTGACATTTGAAAGTATATCGCTAATCTTTTATTTGGCATTCAGCGAGGCCACAGAAAAAAACAAAGACAAGCCTCGGTGACTCTTAGCCTTGTTTTTCTTTGTCTGCCGTTGGATTGCAGCTGTCAACAGTTTCACCTTTATTCTCCTGCGAAGTTACTCATCAGTGCCTTTAAAAGAAAAATGCACGTGCTAGTTTTCTTTGAAAGAAGGCAGCCCGGGTGAATGGTGAGTGACGCACGAAAAGAAGAAGTGTGTGCTTTGGGTGTATCTAGCAGGTGCGGCAGGAGCGTTATCTCTCCACACTGCTCTAACTCTCAGAAGCAGAGGGGCTACCTCCCTCTCCCTGCGGCTGTCACTGTCCACCCTGCCATGGTTGACATCCCCCCTCCCTCCCTCCCTCCCTCCCCACTTCAACTCTGTGACTCTGGGTTCCCTCACAGCAGTGCAACCCTCCAGCTGCTCTGAGGCGGTACAGTCTGGTCATGCCCAGGCTGGCTTCAGACAAAACACCAGCGAGGCTCAGGCACAACCTCAGACCACTAGACAGGGCTGCATGTAATACTAACATCTTTCACAAGAAGGGGAGAAGATGAACTCAGACGTTCCATATTTTGTGTAAAAGTCTGGCGTTTCGTCTCTGCCCCTCTCCACTCTGTCCACTCAGTGTCCAGACACTAAAGCTCATTTGCTTGTGGGTATTTTCCATCTAATTTTAGAACGTCCCCCTCTTGCTTTGTGGCCAATCTATTGCCCAACCCAGTCTGTGACTATCAACATGTTTTTTTTGTATGTAGTGTACATTGTGTACTGTATGCATATTGTGGTGGTGACCACCTGACAGCTATCAGGTGTGAACGAGTGCAGCCCCTAGCGTCAGCTCTGCAATCATGAAGAGGATCATCCTTGCAGTCCATTATTATCCTCTCATGAATCTGCCAGTGAGCAGCTTCCTCATCTCTTTACATCTACAACAAAAAAATGAATGTTTTTCTTTCAGTTTGCTGAAAAAAAATGGCCAGGCTTCATTCTTTGTCGGTCACACTGATGAGTCAGCCTGAAACCCGTGCCCGTGAGATACCTATGCCCTGATTCCCATTCTTTTGCGGCTTAATCACCTGTTTAGGTTTGCGTGTCCTTTCTGTTCTGAGATATGGAGGCCCTTATCAGCTCCCTGCTCTCCCACACTTCCCATCTGCTTCTCTCTCCCTCTGTTCTTTCTCCTGTGTCACTGTGCGAGATTTCTGTGAGAGGCCAGCTGATTTGGGAAGGCCCCCCCATCCCCACCCCCCCGGGCTATATCCACTTTGAGTGCTACTCCAACAGTGGAACACGTGATGAAGAGCAGGGCACCAAGGGAGCTTTCTCTGGGCTGCTGCGTGGGCCTCTGCCTTTACTCGATGACCTTTCTCCTAGTTCAGTATATAGACTTGTACATAGCTTAACAGGCACAACTGGCCGGATGTAACACAAATATACTTTCTGGTTCATCAGTTAGGGCCCCCCAGCCAGGGGTTTGATTTCTTTGAATGTCAAATCTCAGCTTTTCTGTTTATCTTATTTTATTCATACTTTGATTATTTTTTTTTTTTGGATAAAGCATTTTTCCTCTTTTTTTCATTAACTTTTATTTCACAATAATATCAGATTAAGTCAAAAATATTGTTTCTTTTTATGTACAAGACAGTCGAAAGAGAGAAAGGACAGAGAGGACTTGAATCAGGGCTGGTGCCGTGACAACTTGGTCTCTGTATCATTGCACGCTCTATCTTTGCAGTGACCCAGAATCACACTGTCCACTATTTTTGATCAATATGCTGATTCAATCACCCCGCCCTTTCTCCTGGAGGTTATTGAGAGAGAATGTTGTTGTACATCTCACAGCTCTGGATTAAGCAGGGAATAAAATGTACATTACAATATTTTATTTTATTTTTTGCCATATGAAAATAGGAAGGATGTTACACCAGATAAATGAAGAGACAATGGAGGAGTTGGAGATAAGGAAGAAAAGAGAGACGTGCCTCTTTTTACAAACCTTACTTAAACCTCAAACGTTTTTCAGTAACCACTGATGATGTTCAGTTATTAACAACAACATGTGTGACCAGCTCTGTGATCATTACATTGACACTCACACTCTATGTGTATGACAGGTGTAGACACTTCTAGGAAACACTGAGTGGTCCTGTATGTGTACCTACATTGTTATCACTAGGAGTGGGAATACACCACTTTAGAATCAGTCTCCCTTAGCTAGGCACATGACAGTAACAGAATAGCATGTTTGCATTTTGCAGATATCGACTGTGTGTGCACAGGGTTTAGTTCTCACTGTGTTCAAGTTGGGGTTGCATTAAAGTGATATCACACAGAGGTGTTAATGTTGATAAAATGACAGTATAACACGTTGCGAGCCATACAAGCAACAATGTGCATACTGCGGTTTGACTGTTGCACGTACATTATATCCTTCAGCCCCACTTCGATTGATTATGACACCAGGGGTGTACATTCTGCGTGTATGGCTGAAATAGTCTTGAAATGATCCCTCTATCTACACCTTTTATAAGATTGACATATGGAAGGATGTAAACAAACCTTTTAGATAAGGGCCGGTTCACATTGATGCAGCATTTTCCAATTTCCAAGATTATCTCTTGTATCTTTTATTGACAAGAAAGGATGGTGGATAGCGTTGTAAACAGTGAGAGTGGGGAATGACGTGCAGAGAAGGACTGCAGGTTAGATTGAGAACCAGGCCACCCACCTCGAGGGCTTTAGCCTCTGTACTCGGGTGTTCGATTAAACCATAAGGCCAAACTGGCGCCCCAGGTGATTTGGAATTTCAAAAGATTTTTACTTGGTAAAGTATCTTTTTCTCTCCATGATGCTCAAACTTCAGACTGAATCATTCACATTATCTCCATGTCGTGATGATCCGAACTGTGCAGCTGTGCAGAGATAATCGATATGTTGTTGACTACAGCTGGGATGGCGTTTGCAGCTGCGTTTGTGCCGCATGGCTTGGCATACATTGTTGGTGCTGAAACAGTGGAGTATATAGCCCATTCATGTTTAACCCATCTGAAAGTTGTGACATGTTCTCAGTTTTCACAGCCTTTGTAAACACTGCCTCTTGTTTCCTGTGTGGTTAAACACGTTTTTTGTTTTTTTTTGCTTCTACAAACACATTCAAGATGTACATATGTGGTGTTTGTTTTGTTCTTCCTACCTCTGTGCAGTGTGTAACTGCAGAACCAGTTTGCATATTTCAAAGTGATTTGCATGGGTTCCCAGAAGCAGGCTGGCTGGCGTCCGGGCAGGGCTTAAGTGATTGTAGTTGACTGACTTCTCTGTTGACTAGCTAACTTAAAGAGAAGTGTAAGGTTCAGCCGTTGTTCATACAGGAGAGTTTTAGCATTCCGTAACCTCAATCTGTCTGTCTTTATGTGAACCTAATAACAAGCTGTCAAGTCAGCTAGACATGCTTATTTGCACTCGGATTGTTACCATAGTTCAATCAGAGAAGAAGTGTTTTGAACTTTATCAGGAGGGCTGGGCGATATGGCCTCAAATCAATATCACGATATATTGAGCAGTTCACCTTGATAATGATAAATGTACGATAACTACTCCACAAGCTGCTCACCGTCTACTTCAGCCGCCGCTCCAGCCACTCCAACTTTTGAACCATCCTCCATCTCCTCACCTGTCTTTCTGACTGGATGGGGTGGAGTCACATCTCCAACGTAGGACAATGTCTTAAAGGGACATGAGACCATAGCCTACCTACACCAGTGTTGTTTTCGTTGACAATGAAGTTGACGAAACACTGCAGAATATATGTTGAGCGTTTGACTGAAAAAATGCTCATGAATTTTTGCAACTCTGTTCGTCGTCCACCGCTAATGTTTTCGTCTAGTCTCGTCAATGTAAACCCACATGCGTCTCGTCACATTTTAGTCATCTACGAACTATGTTTAGCTCGTCAACATCACGTGTTCGTCGTGGAAAAAAAGGGGCGTTGATGAAATATTTTCGTCAACAAAAACAACACTGACCTACACACACCCAAAACCAACTTTTGTTTATTTATTTATTTATTTTTGACACCAAATATACTGACATGGGCAAAATGACGTCGGTTATTGTCGTAAATTTCGGTATCAGTAATTTTTCGGTTTATCGCCCAGCCACATTTATCAGTCCGTCTGAGAGCACACAGTCTTAATATCTCCCCTGCACCGTGCCTGCAGTGCAACCGGAATCTTTCTTCACAACTGCTCATGCTTGCCTCTCAGCCTAGATGTCTTTGGTTTGTGTTTACGATCTGCCTTTCAGCCACTAACCCAACTAAGAAGTAGAACGTGAGAAGTCACCCAAGCAACCATCTTTTCATCTTGAAGCAAAAAGCTGTCGTTGCGGTCTCATTAGACCGACCACCTCCATTTTTTCTTCTATTTTCAGGTTTCCTATGCATGAAGCAGATCACTTGTCCCCCAGTCCCCCTTCTTCTTTTAGTTTCTGGAGGATCAGAGGCAAACAAGACCTGAAAGTCTCATTGCTCCTCTTCTGGGCTTCAGCTGTGTGCATGCTGCGATGACACATTGTGTTCAGAACTGCTTTGAGGCAGTAATTAAAGGCGTCACAGAGGAACTCGGCCTTTGCACAAAAATACAGAAAAATCGAGGCTGCTTTTTTGTGCCTTTGTGGCCACTGCCAAGTAGAAAAGCTAAAGGGGATGGTGGAAATTTATAGGAAAGTGCGTTGGTGCGTCCCTTTGACAGTGGCTCCAGTTTTGGCGGTTCACTGTACGGATAAGTGGCGGTGGGGTAGTGGGTGGAAGTAAGAGAATAGAAGAGAAAGTTGTGTGGTTTAGTGGCCTTTAGTTAAAAAAAGAAACGAGGCGTTTCTAAAGATTCTTTTTAAAACTTTGTAAAAATCAAGCAGGTGGGATTGAGAGTCTGTTCCAAAAAATGTTGTGTCATCGTGCAGCGAAGTTAAAAGTCCTGAGTGAAACAGGAATGGAGTCAGAGAGCACAGAGAGTCTTGTGTCAGTCTGGAGAAGGTGAAAAGAAGGGAGCGTGGGACTGAAATGCCGGGGCTGTTTGAAGCTTTGCCCACCCCGCAATCCTCACCTTGTGACTGCTGCCTGTGACACGGTGCCGAAGTCCAAGCCCTTTTCCCTCCAGTTCCTTCCCTCTGTGTTGTGTATGTAGTGGGTGTAGCAATAGCCGTCCTTCGTCATCCACTCTCCCCCCTCACCTCTCCCCCCTCCTCCTCGCTCTCTCCTGTGTTGCTCTCAGACAGTTCCAGCCAGTTTGTGGCGGCTGGGTTTAGACTGTCAAGGACTTGGCACAATTTAACTGAGTGCTCCATGGCTGGTTACAAACCAGACATTACCTGTTCTGTGAGACACCCTTGTGAGGCCTGTGCGTGTGTGTGTATTTGTGTATGGCGTGCGTGTTCTATACTGTGAATAATATTAGTTTCCATTTCGGGGACAGGTGGTGAATTGACAGGTTGACGTAATCCAGAGGGTGTAGTCGATCCGCAGTGTACTCAACAAGTCTGGAAGGTAGATGTAGTCATGACGGTACCTCTCTGTGGACACTGGAGTCAATGTTGCGAATACAGAGAGCTTATATTACAGCACAGATCTACTGTGACTCTGTGGTGTCCCACTGTGACCCTCAATGTGGCTCCAGTGACTTTATACATCCATAAAAGTACAAAAGCAGGCTATACTTTATCCGAATCTCATGGTTTAGCCCTACAGAGCATCAAATCTGATTAATCTTTTTGATAGTTGCCACTCTTCCTGCCTGCTGTGTAGCCTATGTTCTGCTACGCACATGCACTGTCATTGGTGCCACTGTGAGTAGGAGTCCGATAAATGTTGTTTTGAAGAGTCCTTAGTAGGGCTGGGTGATACGGGAAAAAAGTCATTCACTATATATTTTTTCATATCATTTGATATCGATAAAAATCACTTTTCAATCTTAAATGTTCCCTGTTACTCTTCAATGAAATTTAACAGTGCTTATTGGTAGCATGTCTTAAGCAACACAATAAACTAGTGCATCTGTGAGGTCTTTGTGTCTCTTTGACGTTTTGTCGTAAGACGTTGCGCTAGAGCAGTGGTTCTCAAGTCCAGTCCTCGAGGCCCACTGTCCTGCATGTTTTGGATGTTTCCCTGCTCCAACACACCTGATTCAAATGATTAGCTCGTTAGTACATCATTACAGAGCTTGATAACGAGCTGATAATTTGAATCAGGTGTTTTGGAGCAGGGAAACATCCAAAACATGCAGGACAGTGGGCCTCGAGGACTTGAGAAGCGCTGTGCTAGAGAAAGCGGACTGAATGGGCGGTCCAGCGCGGCGTGGACACGGAGGAACCCTTTTCATTGGCTACTCGTATACCCTACCAAAACATGGCAGAACGCCGGCTATCAAAAAGCATATTGACCATGTTTCATATTGATATAGAGGGAAATTAATTTTTGATACATATCATTATCATTTTATCTCCCAGCCCTAGTCCTTAGACATCCGATGAAGACACACGCCACATTTATGTCTGCTGCAGACAGATGGAGAGCAGAGAAGAGAGGGGACATTAAGTCTCTACATGCTTAATGTTGCAACCTGCTGCCTGACATGCGACTCTACATCCCAATAGCTGAGGCTCATAAGAGGGCTATATGTGTACATTATAGATAGCGCACACTTTCTGCAGGCAAACACTACTGCATGTCTCCTCTGGATTAGGAATAATAATCCAGAAGATTAATTTACATTTTCCTGCATTTCTAGTAAAATCATGCATTGCTAACAGTATGTTGAATACTGGTCTGTTTGCATGCCAGAATTTAGGAGGCCCAAGAGTTGATTTTTGGTTGCTATGGTATCAAAATAAGTGTCAAACACACTTTTTTTTGCTGATATGGGAGCTCTAATCTTCAAAAGTTTGCAGACTTATAAAATCTTATCACAGTTACAATAAACATAACATTTATTTTACAGCTTAACAACACTGCTGCTCGCTCTCTCCCTGCAAGTCAAACTGTGCTGCTTAAAATGGCTCCATGGCCAACACTCTTACCTGTAGCCTCTGCAATGAATGCATCGTGCCATTTTCACAGTGGACCCATCCAAAGTTTTCCAGCCACTCTGTGGGAAAACTGCAAGCCTTCTTTGACGCGTGTGCATTCACCACATCATCACTGAGCATCTCTAACTTCAGGAGTTGTATTGTTTGCTAGTCAAGCAGACCACAAAAGAAATCCCGCAGCACTCTCTTCATCCTCTTCTCCTCAGCTCCACTGTTTCTGCATCACTTAGCTTTCTATTGTGTGCGAATGAATCGCAGTGAAAATGAGTGATTGGAGGCCGATCTTAAATCAGCATGGGAAGTTAGGAGTGTCAAACTGACACCTTATAGTAATTCAGATGTTGGATTGCACAGAATAGTGGTTGATTAATAATACCTGCTGAGAGGCATGCCCTGCTCTTGACTCACTTCAAAACGCTGACTCTTGGCAGGCATTACTAATCAACCACTGGTCACTCTAGAAAGGATTGTTTAAAGAGGGATTTTAAAAGAGAGCTCAATCAACAAATGCATAATACATGAGGTTGCACTCCTCATAAGTTTGAGCTCTTTTCAGATGTAGTCAGTAGTTTTGCGGCTGGTTTATAAATGATTCTTCCCCAGATTATTTTCATGTATGTGCAGATGTCTATTTCCAAGGATTAATACGCAGCTTGAGCTTAATCATCTATATGCAGTGGTGGTTTACAGTTTTGCGTAATGGCTCTCCCGTGAGTATAACCTCTTTTGCTCTGCTCCTCTTACAGCGGAAACATGTTTCTGAAAAGATTGTGAAAATCAAGATAAAACCTTTTGATGGTTTGGGTTCTGCTGAGTTATCTGGAAAAAAAAGTTGTGCTGCACTTTGCAATAGGCATGTATTGTTATGACTTTGTGACTGATTAGGAAGATTACAAGAAAAAAAAAACTTTGCCTCTGGGTTAGTATCTCACAGTGACAAAAAAAAAAATAAAAATCACAGTGAGTTGGTTAGTAGACAGTTTAAAAGAGGTAGGGTGAGGTATTTTGTTAATAAAATAACCTGCTTGATTCCACAAATCAGGATCACCATGGAGACAGAACGCTCCACTGTGGAGCCCAAAGTGACAGAAAATAGAAAGGTTTATTCACAATCTCATCTTGTCATCTTAAATCAGATAAATTAGAGATTGGCACTAAAATTATCATTCAAGCGAGGCTCCGGTTTGAAAATACCACATCACTTGAGTTGTCATGGACACAAGTAGTCCTCAGCTGCAGCCTTGAGGCGGTGTCCATGGTGTGCCAGTCAGTGTAGCTGCTTACGAGTAGAAGAGTAATCCTCCGCTCTGATGCCAGGTTAGGGTACCGTCTATCTTCTTAATAAGTACTCCTCATGACCGTGGTCTGTGGTTACGGCGACTTTGCCAGGATTTTACAGATCAGCCTTTAATTCCACTATGCTAACCTCAGCACCTGAAGATGAATGATTTTCACTGTCCAAAATACAACCAGCAGATAAAAGATTGACAAGTTCTATAATGTAAAGTCACATTAATTTGCTGTAAAACACATGGATGATGCTGGATATTTCTGGTCAAATGAATGTATGGACTCCAGTTTACAGAAAACAACCTATTTCTGTGTGTTGTAAATGATTCAATACAGAACGGGCGTCACTAAAGTACCACTTTGTAAATTGACCGGTGACAGCTGTAATTATAGCCGCTGAGATCATCTGCTGCCGTTTACCGTGACTCATTATGTTATGAGAACAAAGGCTCTCGTGATTTGAAAATATCCCTTTTCAAATTGCTTGCTCAACGTAAAAACACAAAATTACTCAGCTGTGTGTGACGTCATAAAAAGACAACAACAAAAAAAACTCACTCTTTCTCTCTCTCTTCTCTTTGCAGGGTTTCTGTGACAACTTCAGCCGCACCTATATGGCGTGTGTGAGCGGAGAATTTTGCCAGGCACAGCACCTCACCCGCGCGGAGAAGTGAATCGGCCGCCCCCCGAGGGACTACGCTGCCCGGAAACCCCCCTGACTGCCAGCTCACTAGGAACTGCGGACTCTCCTTCCAAAGGCCCCCCCTGGGATATTGCGTAGTCCTTGGCCCGACTGCCCCCTGCGTGTCCCAACCAATACGAAAAAAAGACCCTTTGCTTTCCACTTTCTTCTCGAACAGCCAATCACAAACAGCTCTCCTGAATGGGGTAAAAACTGATTGGATGACTCCTGGATAGTCTCTCCATCTTTTTTTCTTTTCCCCTTTTTATTCTTTACATTTTTTAAGTTCGTGTTCATTCATTTTTTACACTCTGGAGTACTGTGGACTAGCTTCTCCTTTTTGTATCCCTCTCTCTGTGTACATCATCCCATAGTTGAACACCTGTTGTCCTTCTGACCCACCCTCCTCCACGTGTTGTCATTTTTATTTATTCAACCCCTCCCTGAATACATATAAATATCCTAGCAGTCTGTGCTGACTTCTGAGCCAAAAAGTCGCTTTTGTTTTGTAAGAGTATTGTATTGTAATTGTTTTTTAAGCCGTCTTGCCAACATGAACCGCCCCGCTGCAGTTGAGATTGTCCACGAGTGCATGAGGTTCCTCATCACCCACAACCCCACCAATGCCACACTCAACAAGTTCACCGAGGTAAGCCCGCTTGGAGTCACTTTTTAATCTTGTTAGCGCTCTGAATGCAGGTCTGATGTCTAAAATCTGCTCCTTACCTTTACTCATGTGCCAGGAGCTGAAGACCTTTCACGTAAACACGCTGGTGAGAGTCTGTGAAGCCACCTACGATAAGGCTCCCGTTGAGAAGGAGGGGATTCAAGTCGTGGTAAGCAAAAACACTCAAACTCATTCCTGTGAGCCTTTTTTTTTTAATACAATCATACATCCTTATCAGGGTACACACTTGTTCTCTCCTCCAGGACTGGCCTTTTGACGACGGCGCTCCTCCTCCCACCCAGATTGTGGACGACTGGCTCAAGCTGGTCAGCACCAAGTTCAGAGAGGAGCCTGGCAGCTGCATCGCTGTGCACTGCGTGGCAGGGCTTGGACGGTGAGTGGCAGGCTTTGTTATTTTTTCTCAAGATGTGACCTCAAAAAACTCATTTTCAGTCCTTACTATGTACCTGAATGCACTTCAAGTTGTTGCATTTTATCAATAAGTAATAATACTTAAAAAAAGTAATACTTAAAATAATACTTGAAAAAACCCACAAATGTCCATGTAATGCTTGATCTAAATTCTCTGACTTGTTGATAATTTCCTAAACTTACCAAGAGAAGGCAGACGTATCGGACTGTAATGAACACGTGCAGGGGCATAGCAGCGAGAGCATTTTGAGCATGTGCTTTAATCCTGTATTTGCTACCATAGAGGAATGTTGCATATTTGTAGTGATTAGTGTTTCTTACTTTAACACACACACTGAATCTGCAGGGTGAGCCTGCCTGAATGCAGAGGAAAGAAGAACTCACTTTTAGTCTGTTATGCTCTCGTTTAAGCTAAAATTGTCTGAAATTCAATTCTGCAGTTCTTTTCAACACCACATGCTTTAAACCAGCCTCACACTGCTGCAATCAGAAGAGAGGGACAGTGGTCAAGTTACACAAAGACAGCAAGCAGAACGGGGAAATGGGAAGGAGGCATTATTTGACATTTTCTCCAGTGCTGGTCTGTATTTGGTTACTTTTTTTTCAGGGTGCACTCAGACGTGGCCGGAGTGCACCCTGCCCTAAGTTGAACATGTTACTCTTGGTAAATCATCACACATCTTCTGTGCATTATCCAGCCATCTCTGACTATTTGCATTTCCCCCAAATTTTGAGGTGACTGCTCAACCTCCGCATCACAACGCCATGTGAACCTTTTTCGTGCGTTGTTTAAAAATGATCGACTATAGAGGCTCAGTTGCATTAAAAATTCACGAGGACCCCGTTGCGCAGTAGCAGCCATACCATGCCAAAAGCCCAACCCTTTGAGCTGTGCGAAGGCCGAGGAAGTGTGCAGTGCTTGAGCACGGAATGGACAGTGTGTGAGTAGAAAGGCCAATCTAGATCACAGAGGACCAAATACTCCTCTTGTAACATAAGGTTTTGTACTCTGTAACACTCTTGTGTTTGTCCCACCAACTTTTTTCACTCAAATGAAGATCAGTTTATGGTTCGGGAAGTAACTTATCAACTTCAAATGATCAAAAATTCAAACGTCAGTTTATGTAGTGTTAGAAATAGTGTCGATTTGATCTTTGCTTTAATAGGATTTCCGAACGATGTGGGCTGCTAGTAGAAAACAAGGCTTCCACACACAGAGGCATTTAAAAACGGCTCAGTCACATTCTTTTTGGCCTCCAGTCTTCTCTCCACCCCCTCCTCTTTGCCTTTAGCACTTGTTGCACCCTCAGTACACCGAGGCTTGGTGTGAAAGTGAACGTGCTGCACTGTACGTGTGCATCAAAGTGTTATGTGCCTCATCTAAAACAAACACGGCGCTCGGGTTCAGTATCTTGAATAGTTCCCCTCTGTCTCTGCTCCTGTAAGTGCTCTGTAAATAGACGATCAGCTGCTTATCGGTCATCACTGACAGCAGCAGTCTGCTGCACTAATTCAAAAAGGAAGGGCAATTACATTTGCATGTGATTCGCCTGTTGGTCATGAGTTTGCACAGTCATATCTACAGACTGAAGACAGAAGCACGTGACGTAGGCAGGCTAGTGTGAAAATGTCTTTCCTGACCACAAATGCACAATTTCTCAATGGCTCCCAGCGTTTTGGACGGTCGTGGCATTCCAGAGACGGTATAATTACCAGTATTGGTTAGACTGGCATTTTCTGAATCCATCCCCTCTTCTTCTTCTTCTTCTTCAGCTGCTGTGTTTACTGCAGTCATCTGGGTTTTCCATAGTTTTACAGCCCTCAATGTGGGAGGCTGCAGCTATGCGCCTTGTTGTTGTTGTTTGTCCTTTCTTTAACAATATTCTCACCCCTCCTTCGACACTATCGCTCTGTTTTTTTTTCTTTCTTTTTGGTCCCTCTGATTCTCTTTCAATCCGCGCTCTCTCACATTTCAATCCCTCGTGAATTTTGTGTGAGAGAAAAGCCGCTTGAGGAAACGCTCTGTCAGCACTGAGATCTGACCCGCAAAGTGGTCTTAAGAAAGTTGTTTTATTTATTTTCCTCACATCCTGTGAGAAAGGAGATGGTTTTCTTACTGTAACCTATCTCGGTCCTGCGAGTGTTTGTGGTTGAAGTGTTAGCAAAATGGCTCAGCAGGGCAACAGTGAACATGTGCACCCCTGTTGATTTCCCAGGCCTCTTTCCCAGGTTTAACACCCCCTTCCCTCTCCCTCCAACATATTACTATGGAAGCATGTGAACCTTGGCATTAAATCTTCTTTTCTCCGTTTCTTCTTCTTCCCTTCTGCTACACCACTGGATTTCTTCTCCTCGCAGAGCTCCAGTCTTGGTGGCCTTAGCCCTCATTGAGAGTGGGGTAAAGTACGAGGATGCTGTGCAGTTCATAAGGCTGTAAGTAACCTACATACCTCTTAACTCTGGAGTTTAATGAAGTCTTTGAACTCTGATCTCTTTAGAGGGAATAATAATCGTGTAAATTATTAACAATAGCCCTCTAGAGCAGGAGTTGGTGCACGCTGAATTATTATTTGAGGCTGTGTCTTTGGATTATTTGGCCTTCCTTGTGGATAATTTTTAAATTTGACAATAAACACAATACTATGATACTTACATTACGGGCGAAGTCGTGCCCTGTCACATGTCAGTGTTAAAGGAATATTTCAACATTTAAGAATCTTAGATACATCGAGTTAAAAAAAAAGTCTACATCCTTACTCTCTTCTTTTTATGATTCGAATAAGACAAAACGTGTCATTATTGTGTTTCTATAGCTTCAACCAGCCAGCTCCTTTCACTTATGCAAGTCATGTTTGAGCTCTAACTGTGACCTTACATTTCTAAGGATTAAAAATGTCACCACCTCTGCTAAAGTCTTTCTTTAATTACATAAATAGTAATTGTGCTGTTCTGGACAGCATGCTCTTTACTAAAATGTTCTGCTCCTTTTTTTTCCCCCCTCTGCTTTTTCCAGTAAGAGACGTGGAGCCTTCAACTCCAAACAGCTTCTTTACCTCGAGAAATACAGACCCAAAATGCGTCTGCGGTTCAAGGATACCAACGGCCACAACTGCTGCGTGCAGTAGGCTGCCCTGTCAGTGCATCTTTCTTATGCGCATCTAGTGGGGTTATCTTCCATCTTGGGGAGATAAAAAAAAAAAAATGAAGAGTGCTATCAGTAATTATTGTGATGATTTGTAAACACTGAGTCATGGTTATTTGATCAGAGAGCAAGCCAGTGATCGAATGAATGAATGAATCCAGATCTAGGGATCCACCAGCCGAACCAATGAATGGAAGGTCAAAGCACACAGATAAGGCCCGCCTCCCGGTTACACTGTTCAACCATGGGCCAGAATTTTGTCAACTTGAGTCCATCCTGTTTATTATATTTTTATTTCAGTTGTAATCATGGGATAAGAATTTTTCCACTTTGTGAATTTATTATTTTTACACAAAAAATGGTGATGAGAAGATATGTCAAATGATACTCTGATTTTTACTTCCACTAATTATTCATATTATAATTAGGCCAAAATAATGTACCTTTTTAAAGAGAAACCTTTTTAAACTTTGAACACATCTTTCAGCTGTCCATTTTGGTATTGGGGTGTTTTGTTCTGTTATTTTTCTTTTTGCACAAAACTCAAAACTTCACCTGAAAATGCAGTAAGTTTTTTTTTTTTTTTTTCATCCTCTAACCCTACACTTCACCTAGAGTCACTTTCAGTTTAGGGTTCACTGAGTTTGAATATGTCTGAGATATTTATTCACAAGATATGATATGTGTGGCAGTTATGAGTTTGGCAGGGGCAAGGACACTTTGTTATCCATTTTTTTTGTCTATTTTTTTTAATCCTTCAAGAGCCATGTCTTTTTTTTTTTTTTCTTCTTTTTTTTTTTTTTTTTTTTTAATCTTGTTGGAGTGCAATAATCGGTCCACCTCAGACAAGCCCACCAGGCCCTGCTGAACGTTTTATACACACATGTAAACACACACATACACTTCAGACACTCATTCAGTTGAAGAAAAAAAACAAGGAAAACAACGTAACAGCTCCTACGACAGGTACTGCTCCTGCTTGCATTCATGAGATGGGCTACAATAGGACTTCCCTAGATACGCAGAATCAAACCCACCCACACACACACACACACACATACAAACACGCATACACACCTCATCTTAGAGCCTAAGATCCAACCTGAAAGATAATGTGGAGAAGAATGGAAATGGTCAGTTTTTTATTATTGTACCCATTTTGAAAACATCCCCAATTCGTATTGGTTCTTTAAAGATAAATAAATTGAAATAAAAAGCATTCACGTGTCTTTTTTGTCTTCCTGTGAAAGCCTGGCCTTTGGTTACTCAACAACACTCATACACGTTGCTTCATATATGGCTGTGAATTATCTATCTAGGTCACCAGCTGCTTTGTCCTCTGCACACCACGAAGTGATAGACACCTTAATGTGAAAGTGAAAGATAAGTGAAGGAGTTTGTTGTTCCTGTTCTCTGGACAAAATGTCATTTTCATCCTGTTTGGAAACTGAGTGACAATGCTGACACCTTGCACTTGGTGATAAACACACTTAGCGCTTCCCCCAGACAGAGCATGCTCATTAGGCCTGTCAGTCAGCATCTGCCCTACATGTCCTGTCCTCAGTGGAGGGTGATTCAGCACCACGTGGAAGGCACAGGACACCGTGCTACTGAGAAATGACTCACATCCATAACTGGTAATCACGACTCAGGCCAGTACCTGGACAGTTTGAGAAAGAGCCCCCTCTGTTGGCCAAAGCATGTCACTGTTGAACCTTCCAATAATCAGAAGAAACTGAAATAAGCTGATAAATGAAGTGCATCCACAACATGCCTAACCTTATTGTTGCGTAAGTATTTAACAAATCAAGTCCTTTATTCACTTACTTAGATTGTTTCATTAAATCAAATGATTAATAATCTGACAAAACATGTTTGGCTTTGACTCAATGAGCACAGGGAGTAATAGGCTGTCACTGCATCCGTCAGTGCAGAAAAATGCAAACAAATTAACTCGTGTTGCCAGTTCATATCCTCCTGTGAATAATAGGAATCTCAGCAACTGAGTGACAATCAAATCATCTGATTTGAATCTAATTTTGCAGTCAACGTTCCAGTTCAGCTGTGTTTATTATAATGTGATAAAGTGACTCAGTTTGAGGTGATGTCAGTGCTGTGCTTCCCATTAATAGATGTTAACAGGATCTCCTCGGTTCTTTGACTGTAGCAGCCCAGGAAAAAAATGACTCAGTGTGTTTTAGTCACTTGGTGAGGTAATGATCAAAGCCACAAACCTGTTGTGCAACAACTGGGAAGCAATGAGATAACACTGAAGCAGTTCTCCTTGAGAGTGTAATCTGCTGGTTTTCATCAGATCGTCCTAAATCTTGGCTTATTTTAAGGCCCATGGTCTCTTCAAGCTCCTGGAACAGTTTTGTTTTATCTATACAAACATAAAAATGAGTCAAAGTTTGACACAATGAAGGTGAGTAAATGTAGCACAATCATGTCCTCTTTAAAATGGAAAATTGCCAATTGTAAAGCGTTTAAGTGTTTTTGAGTTAACTGACAGTCGCTATGACTAAAATTACTGACATTTGGCATAACTGAAAATTTCCAAAGCTTATATAGGGCACTTAAAGTTCCTATGAGTAGTTTTAAGCTGGCTATTAAACAAGCTTAAATTAATATTGATGTCTTCTTATGACCTAAAACAGCAAACGAGACCATGGAAAACAGGAGTCAATTTTCAAGACTAAATGTCTGATGATAAAAAAATGTCATAAGATAGTATGATAAAATTGTCATAGTTTAGAACGTAAAAAAAAATCAGAGTAAAGTATTGTAAAATATCATAATATAGTATGGTAAAAATATAGTATAATATAAAAAATATCATAAAATAATATAAAAACATTGTTGTTCAGTAAGATAAAAATGTCAAATTAGTAAAATAAAAATGTCAGAATAGTATAGTATAAAAAAAATCTCACAGTGGGGTGTATTGTAAAAATCATAGTTAAGTATGATGAAAAAAAAAACTGTAGGATAGTAGGATTTAAATGTCAGTAAAGTATGTTAAAAAATCGTAGTATATTATAAAAAACATAGTATAATATGTTAAAAATACCGTAGTAAAGAATGATAAAAAATATCATATAATAGAATGAAAAAGAAAGTTTAAGTATAACAAAAATATCTTAGTATAGGAGGATAAATCTGTTAGAGTATAGTGTGAAAAAAATGTCATAGAATAAAATGAAAAAAAAAAATCAAAATACTGTCAGTAAAGTTTGATAAAGGTGTTATAGTAAAATATGATGTCATAGTGTACTTTAATATAAATTTCAAATTTTAGTATTAAAAAGTCATAGTACTGTATTCTAAAAATGCCATAATAAAGTTAGAATAAAGATCGTAGTTTAGTATGATAATAAGAAATGTCATAGTATACTATGAAAAAATATTAAAATTTTAGTATGACAAAAAAGGTCATAGTATAGCACCATAAAAATATCATAGGATAGATTGAAAAATGTCATAGTATAGTATGATGTAAACATCATAGTATTGTGTGATAAAAATGTTATAGTATAGTATGATAAAAATATCATAGTACGACATGATAAAAATGTCAGCATAGCAAGATGAAAGCATTATCTGATAGTTTGATCAAAAAATGTCAGTTTGGTATGATAAAAAAAATATCATCGTATAGTATAATTTAAAAAGTCATAGGATAGTTAGATAAAAATTTTAAATTTAAGTATAAAAAAGTCTTTGAATAGTAAAATTAAATATATATATATATATATATATATATATATATATTTAAATATATATACACTCACCTGCCACTTTATTAGGTACACCAAGCTAGTAACGGGTTGGACCCCCTTTTGCCTTCAGAACTGCCTCAATTCTTCGTGGCATAGATTCAACAAGGTGCTGGAAGCATTCCTCAGAGAGCTTGGTCCATATTGACATGATGGCATCACACAGTTGCCGCAGATTTGTCGGCTGCACATCCATGATGCGAATCTCCCGTTCCACCACATCCCAAAGATGCTCTATTGGATTGAGATCTGGTGACTGTGGAGGCCATTTGAGTACAGTGAACTCATTGTCATGTTCAAGAAACCAGTCTGAGATGATTCCAGCTTTATGACATGGCGCATTATCCTGCTGAAAGTAGCCATCAGAAGTTGGGTACATTGTGGTCATAAAGGGATGGACATGGTCAGCAACAATACTCAGGTAGGCTGTGGCGTTGCAACGATGCTCAATTGGTACCAAGGGGCCCAAAGAGTGCCAAGAAAATATTCCCCACACCATGACACCACCACCACCAGCCTGAACCGTTGATACAAGGCAGGATGGATCCATGCTTTCATGTTGTTGACGCCAAATTCTGACCCTACCATCCGAATGTCGCAGCAGAAATCGAGACTCATCAGACCAGGCAACGTTTTTCCAATCTTCTATTGTCCAATTTCGATGAGCTTGTGCAAATTGTAGCCTCAGTTTCCTGTTCTTAGCTGAAAGGAGTGGCACCCGGTGTGGTCTTCTGCTGCTGTAGCCCATCTGCCTCAAAGTTCGACGTACTGTGCGTTCAGAGATGCTCTTCTGCCTACCTTGGTTGTAACGGGTGGTTATTTGAGTCACTGTTGCCTTTCTATCAGCTCGAACCAGTCTGGCCATTCTCCTCTGACCTCTGGCATCAACAAGGCATTTCCGCCCACAGAACTGCCGCTCACTGGATATTTTTTCTTTTTCCGACCATTCTCTGTAAACCCTAGAGATGGTTGTGCGTGAAAATCCCAGTAGATCAGCAGTTTCTGAAATACTCAGACCAGCCCTTCTGGCACCAACAACCATGCCACGTTCAAAGTCACTCAAATCACCTTTCTTCCCCATACTGATGCTCGGTTTGAACTGCAGGAGATTGTCTTGACCATGTCTACATGCCTAAATGCACTAAGTTGCCGCCATGTGATTGGCTGATTAGAAATTAAGTGTTAACGAGCAGTTGGACAGGTGTACCTAATAAAGTGGCCGGTGAGTGTATATATGTATAGTATAGCATGATTAAGATTTCAGAGTAAATAATGATAAAACAATCATAGTACAGCATGACCAAAAAAGGTCATAGTACACTATGATTCAAATTTCAAATTTTAGTATGAAAAAAAGTCATAGTTTAGTTTGGTATGATAAAAATGTCATAATATAGTTTGATAAAACATTAACTTAATAGGATTAAAAAAGGTCATAGTATAGAATAAAAAGAGGATCTTCAAGAACATGTGCTGCAAAGTGGTCTGCAGCCTCACAACAATAAGGTCCTAGGTCTGAATCCTGGTCAGAAAAAGTATAATGGAAATATATTGTGAAAAAAAATGTTGTTGAGTAGGATGATAATATCATAGATAAGTATGACAAAAAATGTCATAGTATGCTATGATAAAAATTACAAATTTAGGTATGACAAAAAAGGTCATATTATAGTATGATAAAAGTATCAAAGGATCGTAGGCAAAATATCACATTATTTGATGATAAAAATGTCATAGTATAGGATGATAAAAAATTTCATCGTATAGTATGACCAAATTTTAGTATGAATGAAAGTCATAGTTCAGTATGATAAAAATGTCACATTAATAATTGAATAAATTTTACTTGTTTGAATGAAAAAAAAATGTAATAGTAGAGAACAATAAAAGGACCTACTAAAACAGGGGCTGCACAGTGGTGTAATTGTAGCACCACTGTAGTATGAAAAAATGTCATAGTATAGTAGTATAAAAACATCATAGTATAGTATGATATAAATGTCATTGTAAAGTGTGATAAAACAATCTTCCCCGACATGCCGCACAGTGTAATGGTTGGCAATGTCGCCTCGCAGCATAAGCTCATGTGTTTCAAATTATGGTCAGGTATATTATGCTAAAAAGTAGAGTTGAAAAAAAGATTGTATTTTAAAAAATATCAGTACAATATGATCAAAATTACAAATTTTAGTTTATTAAGATATCATAGGATAGTATTGAAAAATGTCATAGTATAGGATGATAAAAAACATCAAAGTATAGAATGATAAAAAACAATATTGTATAATGTGATGAAAAATGTCACAGTATAGTATAATAAAACATTACAGTTTAGTATGGTAAAATTCTCATAGTACTATGATAAAAAATGTCATAGTATACTATGATGTAAATATTAAGTTTTAGTTTGAAAAACAGTCAGAGTACTGTATTATAGTGTGATATCAAAGT